CAATACATTATTTAGAACCAAAGTCTTTACTTGATTCAGGTTTCCTTGGCGTTTACAAGTATCTTTGTTTCTGGCGTTGCATTCTAAGAAGCAACATTGTATTTAGTTGTCCTCTGGCTGTCCTTGATAGAGACCCTTTTCAACATCTCCGTTCAGGGAGAACTGGCACTCTGAGTAATAGTGGTGAAGATAGCCTGAAGAATTTCCCTCTTTTGGGGTTTGTTTGAGGTTTCTCCTGTACTTCCATCCAGGTAGAGACCTTTGGATGGAAAAGCCATTGAGGCATACTGTCTTTTTTTTTTTTTTGCCACGGAGATATATGCTATTAACGGGCTCCTCAAGATCCTGATCTACCCCTGAGTGAAGAAATGATACGTACTCCAAAGATGATAATGTGACAAATCAGACTTCTCTCACGGGCTGGGTCACCTGTGTGTCTTCAGGAGGCATCTGCAGTGTCAACTGGGTGTCTGCTAATGGTGCACTTGCTTTGCATGCTATCTCTTGGTGTAAGCTAAATATTGCATCTACTGCTTGTCCCAGGGAACCAGTCTGCTGGCATCAGAGGAGGGACCCACCAGGCATGAGGGCTCTCGGGACTCTCCTCAGGGTTCTTAGCGTCCTTTCCACTTATGTGACTTGTTGCTGGATCTCAGAGCCGGCCATGTCTGATGGCCAGCATGGCCTGCACAAAGGCCCTAGACGGGTCTGAAAGGACGTTGCTAACCTGCCCACATCTCTTTGGCCATCATGTTCTTCCTGTCTGCTATGCTTTCTTTGTCATACTAAGAAAACAAACCCAAATGAGGTTCTCATCTGGAGGCCTGTGTCCATCCTGGGGAGACTCTGGAAGAACCCCATTTACTGTGTCTCACAAGGCATCCAAAGGTGGGACTTTGAGATTCCTTGAATCTTAATTTCTCTGGAAAAATGTCCTCATCGATTTTCATTAATTTTGGTGACATAGTTGAGAGTCCCTCTGCCATTTTGGTCATCTTTCTTTGAATCAACTCTTATTTTTCTATGTATGGTGCCTGGAGAGAGAGAGAGAGAGAGAGAGAGAGAGAGAGAGAGAGAGAGAGAGAGAGAGAGAGAGAGAGAGAGAGAGAGAGAGAGGGGGGATAGAGGAGAGAGAGGAAGACAGAGACACAGAGGGACAGAGTCACAGAGGGACAGAGACACAGAGGGACAGACAGAATGTAGAGGAGGCTACCTAACTACCTGTAGTACAGTAGCATTGCCAATTCCTTTTGGCTCAGTCCTGTTTTTCTTTAGTGGAGAGCAGGGTCACATCGTTATGTCATTAAATAAACAAGTCCTGATCTCTTGCCAGCATTGTAATCCCTCCCCCAAGCCCCACCACATAGATAGAAAGTGCCCAGAACTAGCCCCAGGACCTGGGCGAGCTGGACACCACCCTGGCTGGTGCAGTCAGTGCTCTGGGATTTAAGTAGCACGAACGAACGAACGAACACATAGGTTTTTGCATTTGCGAACTTGCCCAATCTGAGTCACCCCCACCACCCAGCGTTGAATGTTGGAGCCCTGACTGGGCCAGCCCTTCCTTCATGAGGCTCCTGAACCCCAGTCAGTGTTCATGCTCAGCTGCCCTCGCCTCACCCAGGATAATGAGGGTTGGGGAAGTGTCCTTTGTCTGGAGCCAAATAGGTCTCCCAGCTGCAACTGTGTCCTTTTTTTTCTCTTTGTCCATGTACTGGGCCCCCTCGTAGGGGTTAAAGCCCAGATCAGACAGAGAGGGAGCAAACTGCCTTGGCAACTCTTACACTTGCTGCCAGAAGACAGGGTAAACACAAACAAACCCACATGTTCAGAGTGCATGTGTGTGATGGCCCCTACATGTGACAGGATACGAAGGAGGCATGGAAATTTCCATAGATAACTCAGGAATCTGAAGCTCTCTGCCATGCTGGCCCTTCAGACTCAGCAGAGGTCTGTCCCAGACTGGAGCCTCTGAGGGACCACCACAATGATTCATGATGTTCCTCAAATCTCTGTCTCAGAAGGCAGTACAGACCAAGCCACCAGTCACCACCTGGTCCTTGTCCCCGTGGTCCTACACAACTGCTACCCCTCCCCTCCCTCCCCCTCCCTTCCCACTCCCCTCCCCAGGTCTTTGCAGGGCAGTCTCAGGAACTTGATCTGCTTCATAATCACTTCCCCTCACCCTCTCTCCTCCCCTTCCCCCTTCCCACTGGTGGTCTCTCCTCAGAGCTGCTAGACCTAGCCTCTAGGTGATCTTTCTACCCTCCCTGGCTCTCCCAAGACCCCTGACCTCTACTGTCCCCTGCAACTGGGCAAGTCTCCCCAGACCTTCTCCTCCATTTATTTCAGCCTCTTCTGAAACTTCAAATCTTGATGGCGTTTTTAAGTTCACACATTATACAATCCCCTTCTGTTATATGTGTGCGTGCACATAAATCCTCACAATTATAGTTCATAAAATAGTTCCAGCATATCAGAGAACTCTCAGTGACCCTCTGTGCTCTGACAAAGACCTGTTCTCCAGTGTTGTTTTTTCCCCTTTCAGAGCACGGCATACATGGAATGTGGGCAAACGCACTGCTGACCAGCTCCTTTCCCCGTGTTTAACCCTCTGGGGTGCCCTGTGCTGTTGCCTGAGTCCCGCGTGCTCCCTCTTAGTGCTCAGTGCGTCCATCCGGTCCATTGTGCGGCTGCGCCATAGCTGCTTTTGAGCTGCGTGTGTTCCTGTTACAGTGTCGGGCGGTTTCACTTCTTGGTGATCATGAAAATTGATGCTTAGATATCCGTGTGCAGACTTTGCATGAACTTACAGTGTTTCCACTTCTTTAGAATAAATATCCTGTGGTTAATATGTGTGAACTCGCCTTTCCTCTGCATGGCTCCCTGTCTCTGACGTTCACTGAGCCATAATCCCATCTCTGGTTTTTCTTTGATCATCACACAACTTAGATTTCACAGTCCATTGGGATGCATTCTTATTGGAACATTCTCTTGAAAACGTTATTTATTTTGTGTGTGATGGGAAGGCAGGGGACCCTCATGCTGCGGTCTACATGGGGGGGAGGTCAGAGGACAACTTGCAGGCCTGGCTTCTCTCCTCCCATCATATGGGGCCTGAGAATTGAACTGCATCCCCAAGACAGAACCCAGTCAGGCTGTCAGGCTCGGCCAATAAGTGCCTTGAGCCACTGAACCATCCCACAAGCAATCTCTGCAGCATTAAGTCCCTCTCCAGCACCATCCTGACTGAGCCCTCACCCTGGTAGACTCAAGTTTTTGTCTATCTACTTCCATTAGAACAGGAAGATGCAACTGGAGGAAAATAGGTCCACATGGGACCACGCCTCTACATTACACCACTGATGTTGACCATCAACGCAAGCTTCTAATATGACTAGTTCACACTTGTATCTCTTCAAACGTCAGACAGCTGCTCTCTCTCTCTCTCTCAGCTCATGATTTGCTCCCTGGGGGATGGGAAGCAGCCAGACAGGAGCTAGCTCATCATCTTCACACCACTAACCCCACCCGATTATGCCCCCTTTCCATTCTCCGCTGTCCCTTCGTCAGAATGATGCGCTGCCCTTGCCCCTGTCCTGAGCCATGCCCTCCCCCATGCCCATGTCCCACGGCACACTGGCTTCTCAGCACCCACCCCATCTTCCCTTCGTGTTTGCTCTTGCAAACATTTCTTCTCTTGTCTGCCTTTATCAAGTGCTCCCTCCATCACCGCCATGTAGACATTCCCCAATATGGATGGATGATCAGCAAACAACCCCCAAAAAACCAACAAGTTTACGGTTGGCAGATGCAGGTGAGGGGGAGCCTGGGCAGGGACCAGACAATCCAACTCAAGGTCCAGAAGCCAAGTGGACCAGAAGCAAAATACCCAGAAACTCTGGGCTTAAACTGAGACTGGAATGTCATTTATCTTTTTATGTGGTATGTGTGTGTTGCTCGCATGTACATATGTGCACCGTGTGCATAACTGGTGCCTGTGGTGGTCAGAATGGGCATCAGATCCTCTGGTACTGGAATTAGATAGTTGTGAGCTGCCACGTGGGTGTTGGGAATCCAGCTTGGGACCACTGAAAGGGCAAGTGCTCTTAATCACAGACCCAGCTCTCTGGCTCAGACAGGACCTTTCTATTTGAAATTGTAAATGGGCCCTAGCGTAAGATATATCTCATAGCCAGCTCTGGGGCCCGAGAGGAGAGCAGCACTAGGTGAGAGCTGTGTGCATCCTAGAAGCGAATGGGGGCATGTGAAAGCCACCGAGTCCTGGCCTCATCTGCAAGATGTGGACGCACAGCATCCATTAGGCTGATGGACGCCACCAAGGTAACGATGAAACCAAGACAGGATGCTGGGGTGCTGATCGTGGGAGGCCTTCTTCCTCCTCTTCCCCCCATCACTCCAGAAAGATACCCATTTGATCACCAGCAGAGTGACTTTGACAGAAGTCACATTTAGAATAGGGAACCCATCAGTCCCATGCCTAGTGCTAGCCTTCAGCTATGCTCTGTCTCTGGCTGAAGCCATCTTTTTCTCTTTAACCTACGGTCTACCTAGGAAGACCTTGACTCCACACTGAAGTCCTCCTTGACCTTGGCCCAAGATGCCCTTCTCCTTGGAACCTCTGCTGGATGTAGAGAAGACACAAGGGCCAGCATACTTCTCGGTGCCTCGTGTGGATTTGTGAAGGTAGAGACCATGGCTTCTTCCCCTCTTTCTAGCCTACACAGAAAAGGACCCTTAGGTCTACACAGTACACAGTATCTGCAGAAATACAGATGATAGCGAACAATGTCTGGACTTAGGCACCAGCCAAGTGGAATGGTTTTCTTTCTTTCACCAGACTTCCTGTGGGCTGGTGTCAATCATCTGGTCCAGCTTGGTTCCAATGTTCATTTTCCATATGCCATTGGGTAAGGACTTTATTTTCCACTGGTACAGCCCATGACAAATGCACAGGAAACAAGAGGCACCAGCGGGAATAGGATCAGAATACTTTAATAAGATATCAGTGTCAAAATACATTTCCTTATAAAGTTAAGCTCCCATACAGTTATAATGTCGTCAGTAGGAATTTGACAATGCAGTAATGTTCACGAAGTTGTTACATTGACAGGAAAGGTTAATATGAAGCTCGGAATCTTTCTTAGAGTGTTTTATTTTTAGTAAAACTGCAAAGGGAAAATGCCCTCGACGCTGAGGCAACAACACAGGAAATCAAATACCAGCATCATTTACATGTCAATAACCCTTCAAGTTCTGTCCCTGTGTGTCAGGCCACACTGTGCACCAACGTGCGCCTTGGACAACACTGTGCCTAGGTAATTTTAGGTAGATTGATTTTGAAAGTTAATTTTTGGTTTGAGCAGTAACTCCCTTTAGGCTGACTGCATTCTGGCCTGATGGGCTTCGTGTGTATTTAAAGTTTTATTGTGTACCCAAGTCGACAACATCTTCTGTTGATTGGCATCGTACACTCGGAAGGCGGCCTCCCTCCTCCCCAGTGAGTTACAAAGTGCTCTGGGGACACTATTTTCAGGGCTTCCTACCCATTCACATCACTACCTGTGACTGAGACCTCAGCCAGGGGCCGTCCCCGAGGTCTGCCTGCCGCTCGCCAACAAGCGGTGCTGAGCCTCAGCTTTGCGGGGGGGAGGGAGGGGGGCATGTGCCCTGCAAGCTGCAGGGTGTGGTGGAGTGCAGGGCTGATCAGACCTGGCACCATTTCCCAGTTTAGCTCCAAGAACTGGGTCACTACGTTATTGGTGATTCTCCACTCAAACCGTTTCGTGGTAGCTGTGGAAAGGCCCCAGTGTGCCGCCAACCGAGCTCAGCGCACTTGAAGGGCTTGCAAGGCCACCCGAACAGAGTGAAAGCGCACCCTTCCCATCCCCCAGGTGTCATCAAAGCCCTCGTGGCAGCAATGACAATGCGTTCGTACATAACGCACAGGGAACTTGGGGACAGAAGACAGCCTGCAACGCTTGCCCTTAATGACTCCACCCCTGGGTTTGTTTGTGGCATATCACAAAAGCAAAAAGGTCACCAGAGAGAGAGGATCCATAGCAGGGTTAGTATAGGCTTGGGGGGGCGGGGCACTACACAGTTCTATGGTGTCCAGAACACGGAGGAAAATAACAACCCAAGAAAGACCTTAAGAGTGATTTTGTGAGCAGGATTCCATCTCTAAGTTTTTAGATATTACAAAGTACCCATATAAATTTTCCTTTAAAAAAATCCCCTCAGTTTTGCTTTTGAGTAGTAATAATAAAAAAATCCACTGAACCTGGCGGTGAGATGGGGGGACGCCACCAGACGGTTCAGGAAGGCCACTGTGTGGCGTAACAGGTGACCCTGGCGCTCACCCGTCACATTTGCTTTTCTGCCCCATGAGCTGTATCAGAACCAGAGCACAGAGCTGGCTCTTTAAAAACAACACTAAATTTTACAAGATGGTGATTAGGGGTCTGTGTGTGAGAGAGAGAGAAATAGCGCGCATCCACAGCGGAACGTAGAAAAGGAAAAATCCTTTTCTCTTTGGCAACAACAATGAAAAAAACCACAATGAAGCCAAAGCTTTCCCTAGCAGGAGAGCCAACATCCTCCATGCTTGTTAGTACAGATACTGAATGTGAGAGAGAAACCTGTGGGGAATATAAATTAGAGATAATTCGGGGGAGGGAGGGGGAAATCTTATAAAATTTCGGGATGTTTTCATCGACGGTAAAACAACTATGTACTGTTTAAAACACGGATAATAAAGTGAGCATGTCAGATAAAGGCCACTGCGTGGCGACCTGGGCAGATCCGCCAGGCCAGCGCATCTCTTAAGTGTGCTGGTGTTAGAATATACCTAGTTGCAACACAGACGGAAGGTGAAGCCGGCAGGACTGGGCGGCAGGCAGGAATGCGCCCCGCCAAAGGCTCAGGTGGCCTGGTCCAGAGCTCTGAGAAGGTCTCTTCCTTGCAGGAGTGTGGAACTTCCCGGCACGGGCACGTTCACCTCACAGTCATATCTGGTCAGTTCCGGCAACAGGTAAGGCTCGAACGATGGCCCCAGCAGTCGATTTGCCATGCCTGCGAGAAGGGGAGGGGATTTAAAAAGTCCGACCCAAGCACTGGCGGTAGCTGCAGGTGTCTCCAGATGCCAGGCCAGGAACTTCAGGTGCCCTGGATCAGCAGTGCTGAGACCCCAGGAAGGCAGGCACAGCAACAGGGGTCTCGGAGCTTAGGTACAGAGCCATGTCCCGGCTGTCTCTCCCTCCTGGGGCCCACCTGCTTCCCCTTTTCTCAGTCATGGCCAGAAAATGATCTAAGCTGAAATTATTTTTCCTTGGGTTTCAACCGCCAGGGGAAGCTGTTGCTTGCTGACCAGGTGTATACCAGGGGGTGAGTGACACATGACTCTTTCCTTTAAACTTTTGCGCTTGCCAGCCCACCTGCTGCTAAACAGCAGGGCTGGAATATGAAAGCCCAGGGATTTGGGGGTTCCACAAACTGAGAACAAAACTATAAAATGTCTCCCAACTAGATACTGCAGACGAGGCTCTAGCATTTCTCACCCACCCCCCCAAAAAGAAAAAACCCCAAATTGTTTGTGTCTAGCGGAGGGAGGCCTCCATGGGAACACATCTGCGTGTCAGTGGAAATAGCTGAACTTTTCCAGATCTCCAGGCTACCCTCCTGTCAGTGAGCCCCCTGTACATGCTTTTCAGAGAGATGCCCTGGTATGTTGTGTGCACACACTTCGGGCAATGAGGAACCAAGGAAGAGACGCAGACTTGCGATCTTAAGGGGACAAGAACCTGCAGGTGACCTGATCATTGGAGGAGCCCTTCCACAGCCCCATAGACACAGCCTTCCAGCCCCCCTTCCCCGAGCAGTAAGCTTGTCTTTGTGCACCCCTTTAGTGCAAGCTTCTTCCTCCTCAGGCCATCCTCCCCATACTAGCCATGCCCTTCTCCTGAAGCCTCCCTAGTCAGAATTAGTCAGAACTAACTGCAGCTCTGTCCCCTCTCTCTGTGCCCATACACACCCAGAGAGCCCTTTCTCGTTTCAGATTCTCATTGAGGGGGGCCTTCAAGGGACTCTTTGAACAAGCTATTGTCAAACACTTCTCGGGCCTGGAACTGTGCAGGTCCTGGCTAGTCCATGCTCACGCAGCCCTGTTGGCTGAAGAGCCCTATATGGGCTGTCACTAGTTGCCTGAAACCTGAGCAGAGAGAAGCTCTGAACATGGCCTGCAATCCTGCTGCTTCCCAGCTTCCTGCCCAGTCAGGCTACCTGCGTGCATCAGGCCCTGGGCAGAGTGTGAGCTCCCAAACACTCACCTGACCCCTTTTGGGCTCCTGGAGGACTGTAGTCCTGGAACTGGGAGGCATAGCACTGTGGCGGGAACCCACTCTTGGCACTCTCCCCCGGGCTCACGGCAGATGGTGGCTGTGGGGGTGGCAGGTGTCTCAGTGGCTGGCCCAGGCCTCGCATGGATTTCTGGGTGAATTCATCTGGAGGGTCCAAGCCAGAGAGTGAGTGTGGTGCCGTCTGATGGGACAGATGATAGCGCTCAGCCTGCTTTTTCTTTTCAGAGGTCCTGTAGAGACCTCAGCATCTGGAGCCCACTCCTGGCACGGGCCCTGAGCCTCCGACCCTCCACTAGACGCCGGGTCCCGGCCTGCTTACCAGGGGCCGTGTTTGCACTGATGGTCTTGTCGGGCATCAGAGGACAGGTCCCTCCCATGAGGCTCTTCATACGTTTCCACATCAGATGCGAACTGCTGCTGGTCCCCGGAGGGTCCCCCTGCAGATGTGAAGTGTGCAGCTGGAGGAAGAGGACCGGGGGAGTGGGGCACCCCACAGATCTAGCAGGTGCAAACACAGGGCGGGGCTCACCACTGGCCCGAACTGTCTGCGTCTCTGCCCTAGCCTGGCCGCCTGCCCAGCAGGCTGAGGCGCCCGCGGTGCTCACGGTGAGGAGGTGACTTACCCCACTGGTGTCTTGGAAGGCTCGCTCCTCGTATTCCAACTGGCGTTTTAGCTTCAGCTTGTTGGAGAGGGCTATCATGGCTGGGCTCATCACGTACGGGCTGCGAACCCCAAAGTCCTTTGCAGACCTGCCATGTCCCAGAAGAGAGAACAGGTGTGACAGAGTCTATGGCTTCCCGCTTGCCTGGTGTCTTTACCAGGACCCAATACTTATGACGAAGGTAATTTATGGACCTAGAGTGCTGAGCGCCAATGGGCCTGAAACGCTCTAGGCTCCACCTTCTGTGAGATGCCGAAGCATCCAGTCACCTGGCCCTCCCCCCACACCCCTGTCTACCTCCGCTATGCTCGGCCAGCCCTGCCCTCATGGGTGGCTGTCCTGCTAGATGACATCAGTCTCTACAAGGATTTTGGCTCAGTACCTCCCACTGAGAACCACCTGGGGTCCTTTACTAGAAAGGACACACGCTACAGACAACACACCCAGCTTCTGGGAATGCTGGCACCTGCACGCGTCGGTCTGCAGGGACTCTCGGGTAGACCCCTGGGATGCTGGGAAGCACAGGGGTATGGGGAGAAGGAAGAAACTGCCTCTCAAATGCCTATCTGTGCCCTCAGGGAAGTAGAGTACCCTTGGGGTGACCCCAAGATTGACACCAGTTCCCTAACTAGGTAGGGTAGCATGCCAGCCGCCTGCAAAGTGAGGGGCTATGGGGGAGGGGCGGGAAGCCTATGTGAGACTCCAGAGCACCCACTAGTGGGTGTGGGCTGATATCTCCTCCCTGCCCAGTGAGGTCCCTCTCTCCAGGCATCCGCCACTGACCTCATCTTGAACATGGAGACATGCGGTGAGGTGTTGGGAGGCTCCAACTGTGATGGCCCCAATGTCAGAGCCCCCAGTGATTCGGGGTTCTGGTCGCCCACGGGCCACTTGGTGGGCCCAAAATGTAATGGTGGGTCTGGAGGCCACTGAGTGTTGGATCTGCCTCCCAAAGAAGAGAGAGGAGTGCTGGCCTGGCCACAGCAAGGGGGCAGGGACCCTTTGTTCCCAGGGTCAAAGAAGACTGAGGATGCAGGCCAGGGCTCCGACTTCCTGCTCTCCAGCTGCTGCGGGTACTTGTCCAGGAAGAAGGGGCTGTGGGTGGCCCCCGGGGCTAGTGGCTGGAAGATGCTTGTCATGGTGCTGAAGCAGTGCTGGGCACTGGGCTGGGGGCTCTCTGGCATGTGGGGCTCCTCCGGGCAGATGGGGCTTAGCTGGAAGTCCTCCCCATCCATGGGGATGTAGGGTGCCAGCGTCTCTAAGTCCAGCTCGTTGAAATCCGTCTGAGGAGAGAGCAGAGCCCACATCCTTCAGTCCCCCACCCACACTCTTCTATTGGAAACTCTGATTTGCCACGGAGGGCTCAAGGATTTCTGTCTGGATATTGACCTTCCCATGCTTTTATCCCTTCAGCCCGTACTGGGAGCTTCACCCCTGGCCGGCAATGCCTTCTCACTCCACTCTCTTTCCGTCAGGCAAGCTCCCTGCTTCTGGTATGTGGGCTGGCCCTTTATGCTATTCTTGCTACCACTCAAGTTCCTGACACGAAGGGCAGCTTCCCTTTACCTCCCTCACGAGCCCTGTAAAGAGACTGCCACTGTCACCAGCAGGTACTCAGAGACACCCCCCCCACACACACACAGACACACACACACACACACAGACACACAGACACACACACACATACACACACACACACACAGACACACACACACACACACAGACACACACACACACAGACACACACACACACACACACACACACACAGACACACAGACACACACACACAGACACACACACACAGACACACACACACACAGACACACACACACACACAGACACACACACACACAGACACACACACACAGACACACACACACACACACACAGACACACACACACACACAGACACACACACACACACACAGACACACACACACACAGACACACACACACACAGACACACACACACAGACACACACACACACACACAGACACACACACACACACACACAGACACACACACACAGACACACACACACAGACACACACAGACACACAGACACACACACACACACAGACACACACACACACACAGACACACACACACAGACACACACACACACACACAGACACACAGACACACACACAGACACACACACACACACAGACAGACACACACACACACAGACACACACAGACACACAGACACACACACACACACACAGACACACACATACACACACACACACAGACACACACATACACACACACACACAGACACACACACACACACAGACACACACACACACACAGACACACACACACACATACACACACACAGACACACACACACACAGACACACACATACACACACACACACAGACACACACATACACACACACACAGACACACACACACAGACACACACACACAGACACACACACACAGACACACACACACACACACACAGACACACACACACACACAGACACACACACACACAGACACACACACACACAGACACACACACACACACACCAATAGTGTTCCCATTGTCACAAGAGAACGCCCATAAGCAGAGACACAAGCTGTGGTGACGGTTAGGGACTGACTCCTCACTGCAGGTCCCTAGTGCCCAGAGAATGGTACCGAAGCAACACTGCCCGTCTGTGCTAGGAGGTGTCAGAGATGCAACCAGGAAGAGAGATGCGCAGGAGCAGTGAAAACTTTGCAGACAGGACAGTGGCACTCACTGGATGGAGAACGTGGTCTGAGACAGACCGGTTGTGAGGGTTGGCCCTAGAGTGCTGGCCGTTACCACACCCACCCCCCTCATCCACTTCGAATGTTTGTGCCTTGTGCAATAAATTGTCATTGGCAAAAGTGCTCCTGAGTTGTGTATTCAGTCTTTTTTTTTTTTTTAAGCATTTAAAGTGAAATGACTTTTTAATTGAGGGGAGGTTGAGACAGGGTTTCTCTGTGTCCTAGCTGTCCTGGAACTAGCTTTGTAGACCAGGCTGGCTTCTAACTCAGAGATCCGCTTGTCACTGCCTCCCGAGTGCTGGGATTAAAGGCATGTGCCACCACCGCCTGGTGTGAAGTGATTTTTTTTCAAAGTGTCTGCATTGGTTAAAGAGTTTGGACGTGCCTCCTTACGGGTTTGGTGGCATGGCTTCGGTGTGGCATGTGTGTAAAAGCGGTCTTCTGAGTAAGGAGGGGACGGAGCTGGGAGTTAAAAACAGCAGCACTGGGCTGAGCAGTGAAAAGGCGGGAGGAGGGGGTGATGGTGATGGCGCACACGCTCCCTGTCCCTGCAGCGTCCCTGGGATCTCCGCAAAGGGATGCAGGAGGCTTTGCCACCCGCACAGGGCCTACCTGGGTGTTGCACTGGTCCTTTGCCTCTGTGTCCATGGCAAAGAGCTTCTCGATCACTTCGATCTTCAAGTGATCCTCCAGAGATGAGTAATAGTCCTCGGGGCTGTTGGGCTAGAGGCCGAGGAGGAGAGGACCAAGTCAAGAACATGGTGCTCCCCTCCCCAGAAGGTCAATGTAAGCAGACAAGCGTGTTTCCTGGCTCGTTCTGCCCTCATTCCACCAAGGATCTATGAAGGGGGCTACTATTTACACGCAGCTTGAAGTAGATCTGCTCACCAGCCTCTCGAACCTTGGTCTCCTCATGAGATGTTTGCATCCCTTCCTAGAGCAATGGTTCTCAACCTTCCTAATGCTGTGGCCCTTTAATACAGTTCCTCATGTTGTGCTGACCCCCAAGCGTAAAATTATTTTCATTGCTACTGTTCTGAATTGTAAATATTTGTGTTTTCTTAGGTGACCCCCTGGGAAAGGGTCATTCAACCTCAGGGGTCACGACCCACAGGTTGAGAACCACTGTCCTAAGGTGTCTTGAGGTACAGATTGGATAGAGGCTGTGGCCAGCAGGGCTCTATGAATGAAGTCTTCTGTTTGCAGAGACCAAACTCGGTTCTCACTGCAATTTCAGGCATCACTACTTCGATAGGGGTGGAGGACAGAGACTAAGAGCCAGCAGTCAACTCGGTAGTCACTGGCAGATAAGTGTCCCTCCCAGGACTGCAGGGACTGTTGCAATAACTCGAGGGAGACAGCACTTCTCAGAATGCCTTTTCAGTCATCTGGTAGCAGAGCATGGGGTCCCCGTACCCTGTGTGCTCTCCCGGAGGGTGGCACTCACCGTGGAACAGCTACTGCTGCTTGTGGCACTGGGCGTGGTGTTCCCTGGGGTGCCCGCCTGGGGCACGGTGAAGGCAGGCAGGCTCCTGGACTCACTCTGGGCACTGTGACTCAGCTCTGCAGCCCACGGCTGGCCTGGGGGCAGGATGGCCTTGCCATATGCTGATGAGTCCTCAAAGTTCTGGCTTCCTGTAAAGACATGACATGCTTGGTGAACATTGACCAGGTCCTAGGCTCAGCCCAGGGAGGAAGAAGCCCAGAAGTTTCACAAAGGTCCTAAAAGTGAGCCTGGGGTTGACACTCTCAGTACCCTGGAGTCTAGGACCAAAGAGCTGTTGACCAGAGCCGTGATTCCACATAGGGAGTCCTTCTCAACAAGCATTTGACCTTCAGGGATGACTAACTTACTAGAAGCAGCTGTCCCCTGCAGAACACTCCAGAATGCAGAAGAGGAAGTTGCCAGAGAAGGACGGGGTCATTTGCCTTAGTGTCGTCATGAAGCTGGGGGCTGCAAGGGCCGGGTGCCCTTTGAGATTCCCTGAGGTGTCAATTCTCCTGTGACCTCTCAAACGCACACATCAAAGGGGTCAAGTGCCAGCAAAGACCCGCAGTCAGGGTTCCCTCGGGGGAGGGTGTGGACTGGGTAGGCCTTTCCACGTACGCCAGTAAGTCAGTAAAGCTGAGAACTCTGCCTGGACCACAGCAATGTCTCTTCAGTGAGACAGGCGACCATTCTAATATGGACAGCCTTGAGGCCTTCATCCTGGGCCTGAGTCTTCTCCCCAATGGTGTTTCTGGCATTATTCCTTCTATCATTCCTTAAATAAGGGCACTCTCTTTGAGGTGATAGACAAGGGGCCTCTACAGTCTCTCTGGGTATGTCCCGAAAGGCCTCTCTCCCTCAGCTCAGACTCCCACAGCCAGGTGGAAAATGGAGTCCTCTCATAGCCTGCCTCCCTTTGCCCCTTCATGAGGGCGAATAGCTCAGGGGTCAGGGAGTTTGCGGTTCTTTTGCGCCTCGAAGAGCCTGACCACGAAGGAGGGATTGGCACATGGGCAAGGGCCAAGTGTTGCTCTGGTTTAGAGAAAGTGTGGCTGTGGAGACTTGCCATAAGGACTATTCCCAGTCTAAGAGGGCTAGGAAATACGCACCAAAATCCAGAGAAATGATGGCATCCCCTGGGGTGGGGGCCAGCTGGGCCAGCTCCTCGGGCTCCTCCTTCAGCTTGGTGAACAGGTAGTTGCTCTTGTCAGAAACGGCCGCGTCGCCACTGCTGTCAAAGATGCCATTCATGGCCACCAGGTGGGGCTTGAACAGGGATTCCGTCTGGTCCATGGAGAATACCACGTCATTCTTCTCAATCTCACTACAGGGCATGAGAGAGCTGGTCAGGGTTTCTGCGTGTTTTTGTTTTAGCCGAAGCCTTTTGCTCCCCCAGACACGTAGAAAGCCCGATGGCTGAACCTCTTAGGAAAAGGAGATGGGCAGGGACACCGTTGTCACGTTGGAAGGAATCAAAGTCTGGGCCGCAGAAGCAGAGAGTACCCTCTGCCTGTGGGCTGTTTCCGATGGCTACACTGTGCCTGTGTCAGAGCACAAGACGCCCAGACGCGATGTCAGTTTCCTTAGCATGAGCAATGACTGCCTCTCGAGTTCTTCCCAGGGATGGGGGAGGGGGAGGCATGGCATCTGAGTTTCCCCAAAAGCACAAGCAGCTGTCTTGCTTCCCACCCACAGAATATCAAGCAACTACTCTGTACACAAGTCAGAGGCATGACACCTGAGCAGACAAGGCTTTACCAAAGGTAGATGGGAGATCTCCACAACGCTACTCCTAAGGTCTCAGCATAAAGTCTTCTCAGGGGGATCCCCTCTGCAAACAGCTTTTGGAGGAGGTCGGGCACTGAGAGGATTGGGGGCCCCTCCCCTACTCACCTCAGGACGTAGTTGACACACATGATACACTGGGGCTGCAGGTTGCGGGGATTGTAGATGACTGTCCCCTGGGTCTCCAGCCACACATATCCTCCATGTTTCGCCAGCATCCGGTACTGGCCAGTCACCACCTGCCCCTTGGTGCACACTAGGGAAGAGAGGAGGCAAAGGTGAGGGGGGGGGGAGGAGCAGTGTGCAGCGGGTACCACCTGCCTGGTGAGGGGGACGGACAGAGCTGCCACGCAGACACCGCGGACTGGAAAGTGTGACCTGGGAAGGAGGCTGGAGGTCACTGTAGCCAACTCTTCCTTTTAAAAAGAGGACTGGGAGGGAGGCAGATGACTGCCTTCCCAGCATGGGAGCGATCACTCTGCAGCTTTGCCAAGCCCCCTCAGAACACGCCCCACCTCGATCCCCCGTTATCACACCCCCAGGCAGCTCAGTGGGAAGCAAAACCTAGAGCAGCGCCCTACTTTCCTCACAGACGTCACCCTCTGCGGGCAGTAGGGGCTAGATCGCATCCCAGAGGAAGGTCAGTGGCAGGGATGTAGACCCGCCAGCCGTCACCTTGACCGTGAAGGAACAACAGAGGCCCTCACCCATGCTAGGCAACTGCTCTACCATGGAGTTACATCCCTAACCGGCGGTTTTTATTCTGACACAAGGTCTCTGTAATTGGTCAGGTTGGCCTCGAACTCACCCTGCAGCCCAGGCAGGCCTTAAAATTAACAACTCTTAAGCCTCGGCCTTCAGAATAACTGGGACGAAGGGTTGCCATAAGACCAGCTGAGGTCCTTTTTTTTTTAAACCATGACCTTTGAACTTTCAAGGTCATCTGTTAGGTCTGTTACTTTAGGGGGTGGAGACATGTGAGATAAACTATCCCTTCAGCTAAGGTCAAGAAAGGTCTATAATCCAGGACCAGTAGTCTCCTCCCAGCCTCCTCCTCCTGGGCCACTGGAAGTTCTTTAAACTTGCCTCCCTACTACCCACTGAGACTACCAGTTAGAGGTTTTTTCCTCCAAGATTGTTCTAAGAGCTCACTTTCGCATGTGTTATCACCATCTAAAATCACTGGGGGCAGAGTTCTACATCCCAGATTGTCCTCATCCCCATTTCCAAATGCGTTTTTCCACTTTGGTTCAAAAGGGATCAAGAGACTCTTTTCGCTAACGTCTGCCGACTTCCGAAATGTCTGCTAGCTTTGTCAACTGTCCACTCGACTTTCATCCCTTGGGAGTTCACTGTCCGGGGCTCAAGCCCAGAAGTGCCCAGGTCGCAGAAAACTGGGGAGACGTATGATGAGGAAGTCTTGCTGGCTTGGGGACTTTGGGGAAGGAACAATCCTGGTGTGGTCTCCTCCCCTGCAAAACGTGGCATTGAGAACAGCAGCAATGCTCATCGCTGTCATTATTAACCGTCCACGATGCTACTGCTGCTCTTGTGGAGGATCAACTGCCCACCTCATCAACTACACAGGCGTTGTTTACAAGTCTCTTCCCCGAGCCAAAATGTCCGATGCTTAGGTACTGTCCCAATTCTAGTACTCAGAACTTTACAGGCAATGTCTCTGGAGGCTCTATGGGAAAACATCCAAGCTCCCTTCCTATTCAGTGGTCCCGCATGGTAGAGGGACACGGCCTTGTTCACAGTCACGCCGATCATAATCTCTGTGTCTTGGCACTTACCCTCTTGAAAATCTTAACCAGCACCAGCGAGGGGCAGGAATGGCTGAGAATTACATTATGCATTGCTCTGCAGAGCCTGTAGCTGCCTTGTGAGAGGAATTCAAGTCCCTGCATCACTTAGCTCTGGGCCTGCCCGGTACATAGTATGCCTGTGGAGACCAGAGCCACGGTTGCCTCACTTGACAAGTGACGGTGTGGCTTACCATTAGCACGTGAAACACCCGTTTCACATCTGCAGTGACTGCAGCCCTTCCAAACCTCTCCTTTTGCTAAACATTATTGCTGACTTGCACAAAAGTCTCAGACTTAAGAGTCTAAATTAGATTCCCATGTTCAACTTTGTCTTTCCTAAACAAGCTTTGTTAGTTAGCTTCCGTGGGAACGTACCCATTTTAAGCATATAGTGCAGTTAGTTGACAAATGCGAACAGCTTTGTAACCAGCACCTCCCCCAGAGATGCCTAACTAACCCTAGTTCCTCCTCTGATTCCAGACAATCATGGATCTTTTTCTGTCGCTGTCTCTTGTCCTCCCTAGACTTGTTATAGGGTCGTTCAAGTTTATTTCATGTGTCTGGCTTTGCTGTACTTGATCGGCGTGTTCTTGAGGTTCACACTGTTGCAGATATGTCTTGTGTCTCCTCCCTTTTTCATGAGGGAGTAGCATCTCATTGTATGGACGTACCATGACTAGTTTATTCCTTCATCTGGATGATTGAGGTTTCAGTTGGTGTGAGTAAAATTGCAACAGCCACCTGTGTCCAGATCTGTTGGAACACAGTTTGGTTTTTCACGGGCATGTAGCTAGAAGTGAAACTTTTAGATTGAATGCTAAGATGATGTTTTGATTATCAGAGGCAGCCAAATTATTTGTTGTGTCATCCTAATCTAATCTTTTAGATGGAATACTGTACTGTAGGGAGGGATGGCACACCCTTTAACATGAGGAGGCTCAGGCTAGGAAGGCCGTGACTCACTTCACATTGCACAGGACAATAGGAACAGCATTTATGTCATCATCTTTTTGATTCCCAGGGCAATCGGTTCTCCCTGACTACATTATGTGGAGCCCAGAAACAAGTGAGAAGGCAAAGCCTGCTATGGCCACTTTGTTAAACAGGCATGGGTTCCTTGGGAAAAGAAGGAACGTTGGTCTTCTCTGCTGTCCCTTTCTTGGCACCGATGGAGACCACCTAGCTGCAGGGAAATGATTCTTGCACGATTTCAAGTCTGGAGCTAACTCACTTAGTTCTTAATGCAAACCACATCCAAGGCTCTTAGTCTTTTTGATGAAACAGCTCACCAAGCAGAGGTTGTAACTGCGTTTCTAGTAATTGCAGGCAAGGGCCTGCTCTACCAGTAGACTCTTATTCACACCAGCGTCCTAATCATCTCATTAATGCCAGCCTTGGTGAGGGGCCTGCTACTTGGTAGGGAGATAGGCTTTTTATGGCCTTTAATCTTGTTTTCCTAAGAGCACAGCAAAGGGAGACCGCTCCAGCCCCTCCTTTGAGAGTAACAATGTATAAATTATTAATCCATTTGGAAAGGATGATTTTCAATTATCTAAATCTGGTTGAGGACTGAGCTTCTCCAGGCATTTTGATGGGAAACATGTACGGGCTGAGACACGCATGAGTGAATTGGAGACATGTAACTTAGACCTGCTTCGAACCTGAGTCTCTGCCTTGGCAGGGGATGGGTGCTCATCTATAATGCAACTGTATTTGCAGGGGGAGGTGGGGTGGAGATGACACTCCTGCAGGGGAGGTGGGGTGGAGACAGACACAGGGTCACTCCTGACACTGGCCCTGTTTCCAGCCCACGTAAACTTGGCTTGGCAAAGTGCTCTTGGCTAAGCAGAGGCCTCTGTGCTCAAAGGGCGCCTTTACCCAACTCCATTGGGAAACAACAACAAAACCAACCAACTAAGCAAGCAAACAAAAACCCCGAGTCCGTGCTTTCTGTTTAGACTGTGAGTTATCGTTAAGTGTGCTAGGGATTAAACATATGGATTAAGTAAAAAAAAAATCCAACAAAAAAGTTCTTCCAACATATTTCCCCCAGGAGTCAGCCTCAAAACTGATAGGACCAGCTTTTTTTCCCCCCTAGCTCTTTTTATAGCTCAAGGTGTTCTAAAGGGGAGGAGCCTTTCCATACGCCTAGTGAGACGTCTATTTCCACCCAGCCCCTGCTGACTGTGTTTTTCTGTTCACCCCTCCCCAGAAGACAAAGTACAATACTGTCCTCCAAGAATTCCCAGATTAAAAAAAAAAAAAAGCCCTTGCCTCCCTTGACTCAGAAGGACGAGAAGAAAGGAAGTCAGACTCCGAGGCAGTGGCTGAGCTAGGCCAGAGCTGAGTACAGCACAGCTGTGTCTCTCTAGCAACCTGCTGTGGGACTGGGGAGCCCTAGGGAACATGAAAGCACTGGGCCCTCCAAGAGAAGGCTGCAGTCTCTGGCTGGGTCACAGCCATGGAGCTGGAGAATGCTGTGGTGTCTTTCTGCCATCCCTGGGTCCCTGAGTGGGGCTGGATAGAGGCTGTTGTCTTTAGTTTGGTTTTTTTGGAGGGGTTGTTTGTTTGTTTTTTCTGACATCACAGTGGGAAATTTGTCTGAGATACTATAACGGTTCCTGCTGTGTTAGTAGATCAGAGGAAAACTAAAGGTCACAGGAGGAGACAGAGGTGTGAATCTAAGAGAGAAGGGGGCTCTCTCTCTCTCTCTCCCTCCCTCCTTCTCTCTTCCCCTCCCTCCCTCCCCCTGCCCCTGCCCCTTTGCTGCTCAGTTAGTGGATCCAAGCTCTATCTGTCCTGACTAGGAGAGAGAAGAATGGTAGACAGAGTCAAGTAGATCAGAGGAAAACTAAAGGTCACAGGAGGAGACAGAGGTATGAATCTAAGAGAGAAGGGGGCTCTCTCTCTCTCTCTCTCTCTCTCTCTCTCTCCCCCTCCCTCCTTCTCTCTCTCCCTTCCTCCCTCCCCCTGCCCCCCTGCTGCTCAGTTAGTGGATCCGAGCTCTATCTGTCCTGACTAGGAGACAGAAGAATGGTAGACAGAGTCAGGACTAGGAATCAAAAGCCACACATCCGTTTCCTATGTTGTCAGTATGGCTGCTAGGAAGCTTCTCGGGTTTTACCCATTTGAATCTCCTATCCCACCCTCTCATCAACCCTGTCTGTACCAGTGTCATGCTTGGATGCTCTCCCTCCCAAATATACTTTTGTCTATGAGATGATCGTTCTCTTGATGCTTGCATTGTCCTGACACGCTGAGAGATGCTAAGTTAAAGGCCACCCAGCTTGGGGAGCTCAGCCTCCTTTTCCCTCCAAAACAAGACCCCTCAGGGAAGAGATCAACACTACCAAGTCCTAGTCCTCAGAGAGCCAAGCACAGGTTTTTACACTGCGATGGGTTTTATGGATTCAAAGAAATATTACCCTGGGAAGACTACACACATCGGGAAGGTGGCCACATGCCAAGTAAAGCGACTTACATCCTTTAGAAATTCAACTTAGAATAAGTGTCTCATTGCATCAGCCACATTTCAAGTGCCACCTAGGTCATGCGTGGCCTATGAAGACACAGAGTGTTTCCATGATAGAGGTTCTACTGGACACCTCCATTCCAGAGACCTGTCACTGTGCAGACTACTTCCCCACATGCCCACACTGTGCTGTCTGGATAGTCCTCTCCCTTAACACTCTCTCCTCTGCTTATCCCCATCTCCCTCTACCCTTACAACTGAGCCAGTGCAAGCCCACTTTCTCCTGAACTCTCCCAGGCCCCTCTTCTATGCCGAGGTACTTGCTGCACCAGCATGGACCCATGCTGGTTATACACTGACTTGTGGAGATGCTCTTCAGGGCTGCCCCTGAGGGTCGTATAGAACGTTGACTGCCGAAGAGGACCCCAGAGTCTTTTCTTAACTTGCATAAAAGCATTTATAGGCTGGTGGCAGCTGTGATTCTCTGACCATCTACCTTATCTGCCACCCAAGTTGGTGACTCTGGGAAGGAAGGAAGCAAGGCTATGTCCTGTTAACCATACTCCTCAAGGGCAGATGACAAGGATACAGGGTACTCTAGGAACTCACAGTTCTGGTGACTTTTGGTCATGCTCTCCGAGTCCAGGGCATGGTAGAACTCGTAGGCAGAGCGGCCAAGCAGCTCCTCGGGGTGGTAACCAATCAGTTCCATGATTCTGAATTAAAAAGAAACCAACAGCTGAGGCGGGAAGGCCAGATGAGCTTGGCAGAGCACCTAATCAGGGGCTTCAGAAGCTCAACTGAGAAAGTATCAAGTACATGACCTGGTCACACCATTTATTCATTCAAGCAAAACCCCGGCACACTGGGCCTGCAACTGTGGGTTGTCCCCCGGCCCTGCACCTCCTGCCCTTCCTGAAGTCCTATCCTAGAGGACTCCACTACATACACAGATCTATCTAAGAAGTCCCGGGGTCAGGAAGGGTCCACACAGCCCCACCACGTATCACACACACACACACACACACACACACACACACACACACACACACACATACCTCTAGCAGCCCATCATAACCTGCAGTCTATCCTTCCATCCCACATGGCGCCTGCTATTACGTAAGCAGAGGAGAGGTAAGTTTTCTGACTACATACAATGCCGGAGGTCCCAGTCTTTGTCAAATAAAGGTTAGCGCCACCGAGCAGAAGGCTAAGGGCAGCTCATTCAGCCCTGTGGTGTCCTTAGTGAGAGGCTGGCTGAGTATTTGTGCCAGCTGCTGTCTTCCCAGCAAAAGGATCACCCACTTGGTCTGTAGATCATGGGCCATGGACATGTCACCAGTGGCTCTGGCCCTGGAGCGGACACCCAAAGGCACTTTGGCTGAGATGAAGTTGGGGGAGAGTGGCAAGAGGAGTAGATTGCCTGTACCCCCACCGTACGGTGGTCTCGGTGAGTCAAGTACATTTCAGACTTTGCCTGGGAATCCGAACTGCAGTGACGACAAGATAAGCACTTACAGCGTCATTGACTGCTAAGTCCAACTGGGCAGAGGCAGAATTCTCTAGAAACCCTGAATACTGAATCCACTGGCCTTCTAAGAAAGAGATAATTCTCTTTCCTGAAGGAATCCCATTTCCTTTCACGATTAGGATCTTTCCATCAAAATGCTCCAAGTAAATATTATAATTAGCCTCACAATAAGATGCTTTTATCTAATTACTGTATCATCCATTCTGAGGCACACAATAGGCAAGTTCTGGAAGACAAACAAACCTAGGTTTCAGACTTGCCAGTTATCTTCCCACCAGGAGCCTTCATTTATCTTGTCAGCCAAAATAAATATTTAATATCCCCCTTCTCTCCTTTAAACAGACTCCTGTAAAAACTGGGAAATACACACAGCCCAAACACAATCGCAGAACCTTCGGGTCGCCAGACGTCACAAAGCCAGGAAGCCCCATCTTAAAGCTAATGGCCATTTGCCCTCAACGCAGGCACCCGGACGCCACAGGGAGGTTAAGGAACTGAACTTGTTTATAGGGTCACTGCTATGGCCCCTGGGGCCGTCCCTGCTCATTTCCCTGGCAGCACAAGGACGGGCTCTGATAAGAGGGGCAGCTGCTCTCTCCATCAGGGCAGAGCAACCATGTCTGTCTCCCTAATTAGAGATCCTTGGGAGAAGAATCACTGGGGGTCACCCGTAAACTTGAAAGTCAACTCGGGGCTGATCTGAGAGGAGAGGGCGACGTAAAAAGATGTAATTCATCAGCTCTCGAAGCAGAGGACAGAGCGTATTCTTTAATGACAAGCAGAAAAAGAAGACGGCCAAGGATGAAGGGAGTAGAGACAAGGCCAGGCAGCTATCAGAAGGCAGGAGAGGAAGAAAAATGGGAAATAGACAATGCATGGTCAAAAGGTTCCTTGGTTCCGAGGCCAGTGTTACCCCAAGAAACACTGACTTCAGCCTTCAAAGTAAGATGCGCCTATAGTGTGCGAGACGACTTATTCCCTGCCCACAATGCCTCTTTATTCTTAAAATGGTCTACAAGTATGACTGGGCAGATGGCTCAGTGGGTGGAGATGAGAATTCAGATCCCCAGCCTCTATGTAAAAAGCTGTTACATGGCTGAACATGTCTGTTCAGAACCCCTGTGCTGGAGGTCAGGGGTGGTGGTGGAATGACCGTCAGATCCCGGGAGCTTACTGGCCAGCCAGTCTAGCCAAAACAGTAAGTCCCAGGCTCACTTTGAGAGCCTGTTTCAAAAACCAAGGTAGAGAATGACAGAGGGGGACACCCACTGTTGATCTCTGACCTTCAAAAGCATGACCGCAGGCAAGCGAACCCATAATACATGTACACACAGATGCATACAAAGTAAGGTGTGGTATGTTAAAATACATGTCTAGGAAGTGCTACATAGTATGACCTACCAGAACAAGGCTAGGGAGGGAATTATTTTCTGAGTATTGTCCCCTCAAGAGGCAGAAGAAACCAGCCACATGCCTCAGGCTCCCTTTATCCATCCCAGGCTGTTCCTGAGAGCTCACTGGCTGGAGATTAGGGAGGCCTGGGTGCTGTTTCTATCTATGTTCCAACAGAGGTAAAAGGTTTGCTAAGTAAATTAATCATGTAAACAAGATGGCTATGGAGTATCTGAACTCTTTATGAAAGTGAAGGTTTTGAGTACTTTTAAACCATCTACTTGTTTTCCCAAGAATGCTTTCACTACTAATGCTTACACTCAAGTCTGCTCTTCCCTTCCAAGCCTTAACAAACCTTAAGACACTCATTTTTTCGTTTCTGTGCATTTGCAAGCATTGGCAATGCATTTCTTTAATGATATCTAGATTACTCACTGCTCAGAAATCAAGACCTATTCATTTTAATACATTTTATATAGACTGTATTTGTATACTATATTGTATAATTTGCCCTAAGTAATAGCACTTAAACCTTACACACTCCTTAAAATACTGGCCAGTTATATGAAGTCCATACAGCCAATTCTGGGGTTAATGAAAACTCAAACCCTGTGTGTGTGTGTGTGTGTGGCGTGTTGTCTGTCTGGAGGGTGAAGTTATACACCGGAAGGTAACCTGGTCTCCATTCTAGACCAGTCCTACCCTGCATGCCACCAGCCATCTTTCAGTAGACAGAACCCCACAAACGGTACAACAGAAATGTGAGAAGCAGGTCATGGAGAGTTTGAACTGTGAGAGCTAGGAAACTCTGATAGAGATTCCAGAGAGAGTTTGTAGGGCATTTCCAGCAGTCCAGATGAGGCAGGACAACATGCAAGTATTTTTACACAAACATGGTTAGGGTTGATTCTAGAACATTGTCAGCTGAGCAGATACAAGGATACAGAGCACATTAGAGTCTAACTTTAGGATCTAAAGAAGCACATGATAACTCCTGAGAGGTATGGGCCCACAAAAGTACGTAAAATCAATTATATACACAACCAGACTACATGCGCTGTCCTTGCAAGAGAGAACCCCTCAATTAAGACACCACCATCCTATAGAAAAAGCAGCAGTTTATGAAACATCTCCAATGTGCAATAAGGAACATGATACTCTACAATCAATTTGCTTGAAATGTCTTCTTTTATTCTTCGACTTAAAGCACCTCACAGCAGTCTTCACACCTTTTGATTCTTTGTAATTTCCTCCTGAAAATTGCGTTATGTGTGTGTCTGTGTGTGGGTGTGCATGCCATGGTGTGTGTGTGCAGGTCAGAAGATCACTTGTGAAAGTCGGATCTGCCCTTCAGCCATGTGGGTCCTGGGGGTCGAACTCAGGCCCTCAGGCTTGGCAGCAGGTGCCTCTATTTGCTGAGCCACTGGTTTCTGTTCATGGACTTCAACTCTCCTCTTTATTCATTTTATTGTTGCTAAGCTCTTTGAATAAAATGAATTCACCATGAATCTTTTCCCCCCAAAGATGATTTAGTTTAAGTGTGTGTGTGTGTGTGTGTGCAGGTGCCAGAGGTTGGATTCCTCTGTAAGTAGAGTTACAAGTAGATGTAGTTATGTGTATGGGGTGGGGGGGGACAAACAGCCCCTGTATTCAGGTCCTCTGCAAGAGCAGTATGCTCTCTTAACTACTGAGCCGTCGCTACAGCCCCACACCATAAATTTTCTCAACTTACTAACCTGACTCCAGGTTATAGCCTGCATTGTTTTGACAAAACAGGGTTGCTCTCGAGTCCCTTGCTCACACTTCAGCAGTGCTCTTCGTCACCGAAGGAAGTCAGGACAGGAACCCAAGCAGGGCAGGAACCTGGAGGCAGGAGCTGACGCAGTGGCCATGGAGGGTGCTGCTTACTGGCTTGTGTCTCATGACTTTCTCAGCCTGATTTCTTTTCTTTTTTTTTTTTTTTTTGAGACAGGGTTTCTCTGTATTGTTTTGGAGCCTGTCCTGGAACTCACTCTGTAGACCAGGCTGTCCTCGAACTCACAGAGATCCACCTGCCTCTGCCTCCCAAGTGCTGGGATTAAAGGCGTGCACCACCAATGCCCGGCTCAGCCTGATTTCTTATAGAACCCATGACCACCAGCCCAGGCATGGCAGCACATACCACGATGATTAAAAAATGCCTTACAGCTGCATCTCAAGGAGGCGTTTCCTCAGCCGAGTCCCCTTCCTCTCTGATGACTCCAGCTTATGTCAAATTGACACATGAAACCAGCCAGGAAACAGGAAGACTCACAAAAGCACACAGGGACTACAAGATTATTTTTTTTTTTTTTAAAGAAAACTCCTAATCTTCTTGACGAGTTAACTTTCTTCACAGTTATTCTACTTGGCCACTAGATGGCATGTCCACATGAATTAAAAAACCCAGCCCCTGCCCCTGTAAAGGATTTGGGAATGACTTTGGTCTTCCTTGGATGAATGGCATGTCCTGTTTCGTACTACAAATTCACTGTGGTCTCACCAAGATGCTTGTGTCTCAAGCTCAGAACTCCTAGCCACCAGGAGTCGTTTCTTCCTTGATGGAATAGTTTCGATATGGTCCCTGAGTAACAGTTCATGAATTAGTTCCTTAGTATTTTAAGAACAGACTAATAACTCTTATGTTTGAGTGCACAATGGAGAAGAGAATCTGTTATGCTGATAATAAAGACATATTTAGCACTTGGGATGCTGGGGCAGGAGGATTACTGGAGAATAACAGGCCATCCCTGGGAGCATGACTGCTGGGGAGGAAAGATACATTTTTTCTTTAACCTCGATAAGCGACTTTACAACCTGTTCATCTGGACAATCGCAGTCAGCTGTAGGCAGCTGAGTGCCCTTCATCTGAAAATGTGATGCTCACATGTGCCAACATGATATCTGAAAGGTTCCAGGTTCTGGAGCACTTTGGAGTTTGAATTTCCAGGTTGAATTAGTAAAATCTATACAATATTTTCCCCAAGCTCTCAAATCTGAAGCATGTTTAGCTCCAAGCTTTCCAGATAAGCGATAATGGCTAAGCCACAACTGTGCCCTGCACATAGCTGGGAATGGCAGAAGTTATAGGAGGGTTTTAAAGTGTTCACTGTCCCAAATAGTTCATAGAGAACATCAAGCACCCTTCCCCCTCCACTAAGGGACCATAAATGCGTTTTGAATGGCAGGTGCATCAGAAGAGGGTGTTTTTAAAATGATCGATTATGGAAACCTGAGCGTTCAACGTATGATCAGAGACCTCCTGAGTTGCCTCTCTCCCTCTCGTCCCTCTCTATGACCCCCTCCCTTTTTTCTCTTATCAGACATATGAAGACCGTAGGCACAATCAAAGGAAAGGGCAGATGTGCCTCACACGAGACTGTGGGTTCGAACTGCCTGCCTTTCTTCAGCTTCCTTCTAGCTTTCGCTAGGGGAAAACAACCCCCTTTGTGTCAGACGTCACCAACCAGGAGAATTCCCTGGGTAAAAATGGCACTGGCTGGGTTTGGAGCATTTCTCTCAGAAGGGTATGTTGGTGGGTGTATGAACACACACATACACACTGCTCCCCATCCCAACACAGGGAAAACAGAACTAGCCTCTCCCCCCAGCCCAAAGCAATCGAGAAATAACACTGAGGGATTAAATACTTAAAATAGTCCCTTCGTCAACCCTTATGCCTGTACCCTGGATACTTAATCTGCTAATCGGTTAAACGCCTAGTGTGGTACAGCACTGTGTGTTAGCATCCCTCTTCACTGGTCTCTCCAACACAGTAGAATTGCGTGTGTTGGACCATGCCAACAGGTTCCTTGAAAGGACATATTATGCCGGAAATACAATGTGTCCTTAGACATCAAACAGCATCTTTCCCCACAATGACTCGATGACTCGCAACGCCCTATATCACAGGATCCTTCAACTGAGAATCTACTCTGCTTGCCAGTCCTGAGCCAGACTGAAGGAGACACTGTGGTATTCCACCCCCTTCTGTGTACATGGTGTCTTCAGTCCCTTGAGGTACCCATTTCCTGTGGCACCCCCTTCCCCTTTAACCCAAGGCTAGTGCTTTTACCTAAAGCCCAATCAACCCACAATAATGAACAGATTAGCACTGAACTAACTTTTCTAGGGGATATTTCCCTCAACCTTAAAAATAATCCAAGTCTCAGGGTTCCCTTTCTAAAGTCTTTCTCTTCTGTGATCTACAGACAGCAGGTGATCTGAGGTCAGAGGGCTTCCCCTCTTATGAAGCCTGGTGATGGTGGAGATCTATACAGAGGTATCTCCAGTTACATCACCCACAGCCCTGGCCACCCTTAAGTGGCTGGATAAGGGTCCCAAGTACCATTTCACCTCAAAGCTGGTGACACGGATGAGGCATTGGGACTTCCCAGGGTATCTCAGAGGACTGCTGAGAGCACACGCCATCCGTCTTCTGGAATGTTCATGTGGGTCAAGGATCACGTGTGATGAAAAACCTCCCCTTGAACAGGGATCCAGGGACCACGACTGTAACAGCAGTGGCAACATTAAAATGACGATCAGGGTTAATTGATGAAGTTCTGCTTTCTCTCCCTATGAGGTTGTAGTGTTCTTCCTAATTACTTAATAGTAAACTTACTTAATAAACACTACCTCCCAGTGCCCCAGCACTAACTCTGCTGCAGTCAGAACGAGGACACAGGAATATGTCAAGGATTCTTTTACATAACTTCTGAAATGGGGCCATTTAAGTGACAGCTAATCCTGACATGAGGACACTAACTCACACAGGTCCATCTAGACTCAGAGTGAAGAATCTAAGCTAATCTGGAAAGCAGATCTGGCAGAACCAGATGCCCATAGATGTCTAACAGGGAAAGAAAGGAGCTGGGCCTGAGGCTGGTAGGTCTTCCATGTGAGCCTTGGAGGCCTCCCGTTACTCGGAAAGACCAGGCGGTTACTTGCTCAGGCAGGGCATAGGATATTAGAAGAAGATATTTGCTTTGCGGAGGCCAGGGATGGGTATGAGCCGAGACACAAGACCTCCTTATGCTATGGAATGGCACTGTGCTGTGACCTCTTCTTACAGTGACCCTCTGAAATAAACCAAGAACAAGTCATTCACTTCAGGAGGAGTGGCCCGGAGTTTCAGGTAGTGCAAAGTTGACTAGGGACACTGCAGGGGAGAGGTCATGGCTGGTACGGTGGTCAGGCATGGTCGTGCCATTTACTGAGGCTAGGCATAACCCATCTCAGTCCCTCACCAGGCTTTCCCTCCCTTGGTGAAAGCCTCTGCTCATCACAATCTGTTCTCACTGTCTTTCTTCTCTACATCCAGATCCCGGAGGCAGGACAGGAGGGAGTAAACACTGATGTAGTTTATGCATGCCTTGCACCTAATGACAACCCCAATAATAAAAATGGCATGCCTTCCTTGTGTAGCCTTCTGTGTGCTCCCAGCTTTAAAAGGGGTTAGAAAAAGAGCTTACACTGACCATGTGTAAATGCATGAGAGCCTAGGCTGTCTAGTCCAAGTCCATACTCTATCACTTCTGGGTCCCCCAAAAGGAATGCCCAATTGCCTTGGAATTAGGAATTAGAGTTCAGCCTAGCTCACATTGAAGTCTTTAGAAGGAGGCCAGCTGCTTGGAATGAGACTGTACCTCGTAGGGGTAAAGGCTGAGTGAAACCTGTCAATCACAACTAGTGTGGGTCACTATACAGAACCTAACACTTCTGGCTGACCTATGAATCAGAATACTTACAGAATTTCTTCTAGACTCTTGTCATGTGGGACAAGAAACTGCCCTTGAAAATTTCTTCGGAAAAGTAGATATGTAAGTGAACAAATACACACATACCATAATAATGACAATAATCACACCAGAACAGCTCCTAAGACAGACCCCCTGAGGCTGTGTCTAATGGGAGACTTCAAACTATGATGCTAGGGACCTCCGGCAGGACTGGTAAAAATGACATAAGTCTTGGAACTTGCAGGCAGCAATACAACACGTAGGTCCTAATCCTGTCCCTGCGCTGTAGGTACACTCTCACACACAGACACACTCAGGTAAGGCCCGCCCTGTCCTTGCTCATGCCCCGCCATATTCCCAGCGCCTCACCTGTCGTCACAGTAGGTGAACTTCATGTCCATGCTGTGGCGGCTCAGGAAAGTCTTGCTGTCCAAGGGGATGTCCATGTGGGATGGGTGCTGGATCGGTTCACACATGATGATGAGGCAGGACAGCAGTGGCTCCTTGTAGCCACAGAGGCTACTGTGAGGAGGGCAATTGTTGTAGACTCTCACTTGGCCGGTGCAGTGCAAGACCTGGGGACAAATGACAGGAGTCAGAAAAGTCTGAGAGTGCTGAAAGCAGGGCCAGGGCTTCAGGCAGCCCCCTGCTCCCGGGCCACATGACTCCAAACCATGGCCCACTGCCTACCTTCCAGGTGGCTGACTTGAGGTTGACAGTCCGGCCTCTGTTGGTGACTGTGCACTTCATCCTCATGAAGAAGTCACGTTCAGTAGACATATCCTTGTTTTTCTTCCCAAAGCCAGAGCCTGAGTGAGTGGGGAAGGGTACGGGAACCAGTTGAATTAGCCCGAATCACAACGTTTCTAGGCAACTTTCATCTACCTTTCCTGGCCGTTTGTAGTCTGGTGCTTGCGGTCTGCCATGGACACAGAGTCAGTCCTTCATGCCTAAAGACTAACGGTACCTCGGCTGCCGCACCTGGCTCGACTGTGGTCAGATTAGAGGACAGAAGTGTGTCAAGGAAGCTCTCTGTAAAACTTCTAGCGATGACCACTTCCACCCAGGGGCCACTGGCTAACACCAGGTCCGTGCAGATTCAGTGGAAGGGCTACGGGAAGGCAGAAACCAGGTGCCTCTCTCCATCTTGGGGAGATAGGTGCTGGGCCTGGGAAGGCTGAGTAGAAGGTCCCATGTCACTGCATCACCAGGAGCATGAACACCCCTAGGCGAGGGCTGCCGCCTCATTTGGTACCCTCTGCACTTAGCATGCAGTCACGCAGTGCACTCAGTGTTGTCACCTGAGAGCAGCAAGGCTGACCAGTCTCTGCAGCCTCCTGTGGGGACAGGCCTAGTCCTCTAGCAACAAGTGTGAGGGAGACCATAGTTACTCCAAGGAGGCAGTCTTTCCAGTCTGCTCTTTCTGACCCATCTCTCAGGAACGTGAACAATCTATATATCCTATCTGCATCCCGGAACCACTATGTTCTGGATAATGTGCCATTAGTTTTCTCCTTATGGTGACATGTGTCAAGGAGGAGGGGGGAAGGAAATGAACGCATACTCACACACTCACACTCATGCACACTCACACACACTCTCATACACTCACTTACATGCACACATACACTCTCATGCACACTCACACACTCACATACATGCACACTCACACACTCTCACATACTCACACATGCACACATCACACAACACACTCACACTCATGCACACTTACATACATGCACACTCACACACACTCTCATGCACACTCACACACTCTCACATACTCACACATGCACACATCACACACACTTACACACACTCACACACACATCACACTCACACACATGCACACACACACCTGGTTTTAACTGGAACTGGGTAGACAAGTCTATCCTAAAGACGTTCTTGACAAGGATCAGTTAGATCACCTTTCATCTAGGATTAAACAAATCACCAAGACAAAGAACGCACGGCATGTTTTCTTCCATGCAAGTCCCCAGTGCCTGCCCAGTTTTTCTGCTTCTTGTTAGGCAGAGTGGCAAGTACAAGGCCAGGTGTGTCTAAGTGAATGGTGTCCATACCGCCATCTCCATTCCTTCAAGGCCTAGCGTCACAGAGCAACCTAGAGCCTTCCTTCAAATTGTCACACTGCTCTTTCTAGGAGAAGCTGAAGCTGCACCCACACCTCTGAGGAACTTGACTTAGTTTTAGTCTAGTACAGAAGGGCTGTGTATCCAAAGAATCAGGACCCTTGAACTGGACTCAATTATCTTTTGGGGAACCCACTAAGTGACAGATTGGCATTATGTTCTGATAAAACTGTTTCATAATTAAGCCTCTTATGATTTCAGTTCTTATATAAGGCTAGTGTATGATGAATTGTAACTGTGCTGGGGGAGCCCCCAGGGTTAGAAGTGAGGGACAAGAGATTCATTTGTGGCTGTTTGTCTGGGCTGCTATTGTGGGTTCCTAACTTGCTAACCACCAGAGTCTCCCCATTCTGGCGCTCCATAGTATGCTTAAACATTTTCACAGGAGCTCCCAACTGTCTGCGGGACAATGTCTGAGGCCTCCCACTTTACCAGCAAAGCATTCTACGGCTTGTCACCCCGTCTTTTCTTCCTCCAGGAGTCCCCCGACCCTCTGTTTTTAAACCATGGAGTCGAGTCTATGCAGACTTGCCGACTCACTGAGTTTGATTGATCCTAAATTCCATGAATCAAAAGACATAAAGTTCTACTCGGACAAGCAGACGGCACTTAGCTGTGAGCCAGTGTATCTGAATGCTAGAAAGTCCTGGACTCGGCCTCACCTTTTGCCATTGGCTTGAAAAGAAGGAACGGAGCAGTATGGGAGTGAGACACTGAGTTCGGGTCACAGAATCAACCTGAGGCCTCGGTCAGCACTGAAGTGAGACCAAGAGCGCAGGGGCCAGTGACTTCTGAGTAAAGAAGCCGTGAGAGTCTAAAGAAAGTGCTTTCTGGAAGCTTGCAAGAAAAGTGGGCTAAAGCGTAAATAGAACTGTGTGTCTCACCACAGCCTCCACAACTAGATTCTTCATTTTGCTTTTTTTTGTTTGTTTCTGGCTTTTCTTTTAAATTTGGTTTTGGTGGGGGCAGGGGTGGAGGATACGTGAGATCTGACTGCATGATGTGAAATCCATAGAGAGTCAATAAAAGTTTTTAAACAAAAGTGCCTCTGAAACCCAGGTATGTTGGCGCATGTCTGTGATCCTAGGACTTGGGAGGGAGGATTACAAATTTGAGGCTAGCCTGGGCTACACTGCAAGATCCCATCCTGGAGGGGGCACTATGATAGCCCCCTTCACCACAGAAAATGAATCATTCTATATAGCCTAGAATTTCTCAGCAGCACAAGACATTAAATAGTCTCATGGTGGCTCCCAGCCTGTGTACTCTGGGAGCCAACTGGGCAAGGCTTTGGACAGAAAGCAGTGATCCAGGTGAGAGGCCAGGGCAGCATTGGAAAGGGAGGTGGCTATAATTTTACAAAGCTTTGTAAGCCCAAGTGAGGGTTACAGTGCTCTGTACCAACAGTGGAGGTGAGTCAACAAAACACCAGCTTCTGCGGCCCGAGCGGTGATGAGAAGACCTTGCAGGAGTGGTATCGCTGCCTTTGTTATTCAGGTCAGATGGGCACACGCCCCACCGTGGTGACAGGTTACAAGGATGGTGTCACGGGGATGGCAGTCTGTCCAGCCCCGTGATAGGTGCTCGAGTTCAGAGAGGATCTTGGAAGTCATGGGGTGCCACAGCTGCCTACAGCTGTAGCTCATTTTGTTTGGTTCTGAAAGATTTGCTGAACTTTGATCTGTGTGTTTGTGTGCACATTCGTGCTGTAAGTGCCCGCAGAGGCCAGAAGAGGCCACTTGATGTCCTGGAGCTGGAGTCACAGAGCTGGGGTCCTCTGGAAGAGCTGCCTGTGCTCCTAACCACTGAGCCATCTCTCCAGCCCCAGAGGTTTAGTTCTTCTGAAGAGCCTTATTCATGCTTTTTGCTGAATGTTATCAGAGATGAAGCCAGATGATACTTTCTGCCTGTGTGAGCCTCGTACCACTGACGCTGGCTAGATACCCACAGAGATCAGGGCAACAGAGCTTTAAAGTCCTCCCCATCAAACCTTTCTGATCTAAGTCTCACCGTCACAGGCTCCATTCGCTACGGGGCTCCTGTAACAGCTAGTTTTTGGTGGCGATCCTATGGTCCATGCCTCCTGACACACACCCAGCCAGGGTAGGCATGAACCTTGCATTAACCAGCAAAATAGGGGTAGACGCGACGATATCCCAGTTTCAGGACTCAGGCTTGGGAAGGTCTGTCCGCTTCTACTGTTGCAGCTGGCAGGGAGAAGGGAGCTACGTGGTCCCGAGCTGCCACGTAAGATGACTGTTCTGTGAGCCCGCTCATGAAAAAGGCTACTCTGAAGTCCCATAGAGTGGGCTGCGGTCACTGTGTCCCAGCTACCAGGCACAGGTGAGCCACTTTGAACACTTCAGCCTGGTCCGCCTCTGATGACTACAATCCAGCTGATGTCACCTAAAGCAAGAGACCCACCCACAGAACCCACAGAAACTTGGGAGATTGCGTAAGCCTGTGTTTTGGTTGGTTTGATATACAACAAAAGACGTCTGTAGCATCTCCCATAAATAATCTGCTGTAGATGAAGTTATTGGCTTGGGTGGCATCACTTGGCAGAGATAATTGATCTCAGGTGATGAAACCTCCTAGAGATGGCACCCTGACCTGAAGGAGTACCCTGGTAGCATGTCATCGGGTGTCCTCAGCTTTTCTGAGTCCTGGGTCATACAATCTCAACTCAAAGGCTGCACATCCACCCTCGAGCTAGTCCAATTGGAGCTTATGGGTGTCGGTTTTCCCGGCACCATACCACAATCCATCTGGCCTTCATGAGTAGGCTCGGGGGAGGGGACCACAAGAAGAACGCAAACGTAGAAGAACACTTTACCGTTTTTGAGAGTCAGGTTCTCACGGATCTCCTCATGGTCACAAGGGTGGGTGAAGTCGAAGATGCTGTGTCCTGTTAGTTCTACCTGTTTTAAAAGCAAGGGCAGACTTTGTCACTCCTGATAATGAGGTCAGATTCCAAGAGGGAAGCTGGGATAACTTCTAGAATTGGAGACAAGGAGGAAGATAGAATTGAGTGGTCATTGACAGTCTCTGGCCAATATTAGGTCCATGGACTTACAGATGTAACGGCGCTATTGGTGGTGACAGGGACCTGATTCATAAGGGTTGCCAGGTTAATCCAGCACTAAGAGATCTGCTAGGATGGCCACAGCAATGTCAAGCCCCATGCCGCTGGGACCATGCTCCTACGGCTTGTGGCCCAAGAATCGTAATCATCAGGATGGGCATGGGTAAGACGTCAAGAGATGGTGGCCAGGACCTCCCAGTAGTTTCTGTCCCCCAAATGAAGACATTTGTCCCTTTTGAATGAGGTAGAGGAGGGTGTCACCTGGGTCAGTCCCATGAACTTGCTGATGTTTTCTGACAGAAAGATCATATCACCGTCTTGGGTCACCACTGCGATGAAACCCTCCAAGGCTTTCAGGTACAGGTTATCCATCTGCTGGTCGGCCTCGGCTTCGGATTCATTTTCCGAGCAGACTGGAAAGAGGATAGACAACACGCATGAGTGTGGTGTTAAAACAGACATGACTGGAGGGATAGAGGACCGCCAGGCATGGCTGCAGAGCACAGGTAGACTTCCTGGGAAACGCATGTTGCCAACTATCCGAGTGCCTGCCACGCGCCTGATGAGTGGACACTAGGTGAGACACCTAGAGCGCATTGACAACGATTTTGGGACAGCATGGTTGTTGCGGTAACAGTCCTTGCGGTATCAGCGGTAACGGTGATGGTAGCTGCTCACATAATATGTGTGCAATAACCACAGGCAGACACTGCACTAAGCACAGGAGTTACCATGACTCACGGAGTAGGGACTGTTCCTACCCTCATTTTACAGAGATAGACTTACAAGAGGGAAGCCATTTGCCCCAGGCTGTGAAGTCGAGAAAGCTGGCAAGCCCCAGGGACTGAATGGGGTAGCCATGCCCAACCATCTTGCAGACTTTGCAGTCAAATAGAGCTGCCTCCCACTCGCCTATGGCTTTGGAGCAACTGCTAACTGAACACCAGTTTCCTCGTCGACACAAAACGGGAATGGTGAGTTCCATCACCTTGGTATCAACCATTGTGAGCTTTTTACCCCATCTGCTTCCTCTAAGACATTGCTACTTATCCTCACATTGTTCAGAGCCAAGGTGGAGAATGCACAGCACCCCTCACAGAGCTAAATAAACACTCGCACATGCTACAGTGGGGCACATGAGTAGGGGTGCAGGGAGCAAGTGCTCCAGGGGGCAGAGGAAGAGAATCAGTTTGCAGGGGTGAGGGGTGACATAAGAAGTAGGGTGGAGAAGACTCGTGAGACAGAGTTCACACTAGGATGGAAAGAGGGGCTTGTCGGTCTGGACAGGACTGGGCTGCTCTCTGAAACGCACGGGGTAAGGCTTCCTCCCAGGACTGAGAAGAGCCCAGCTGGATGGAGAAGCGCCATCCTCCAGTACCAGAGACTGGACAAGTAAAGAAAGCCCGGCATGTTGAAGCACCCCCTCTTCCAGCCCAAGGGGCAGAGTGGTGGCGTCTCAAAGCACTGCTCTGGGGACATCAGTCTGGGAATAACATGCAGAATAGTTTAAAGAGAATGGAACTCAGAGAGAGGTGGCGTCTCAAAGCACTGCTCTGGGGACATCAGTCTGGGAATAACATGCAGAATAGTTTAAAGAGAATGGAACTCAGAGGCACAAAACAGAGAGCAGGTGGAAGACTACACAGGCAGATGCTGGGCTAACGTGGAAAGGAGCTACTCCAAACCATGTACTCCGTATACCCTGCACTACCGAGTCCACCTTTGCTATCTGCAAAATACAGGCTCTGCCCTTGTCCAGACAAAAAGAACTCCCAGGCTCTGGCCCTTTGATGTCCTCAGACTATAGACTGTACCTTCTTCTAATTCATTATTTAATGCCAAATGTACATGTGCTTTGAAAATCTGCATTCAACCAGGTGTGGTACTACACGCCTTTAATCCCAGCTCTTGGGGAGGCAGCAGCAGCAGCAGGTGATCTCTGAGTCCAAGGCTGACCTGGTCTACAAAGTGGGTTTAAGGCTAGCCAGAGCTATATAATATGGCCTTGACTCAAAGAATAGGAGCAACAGCATCTATAAGGATACGTATTCATCTAGCACAAGCATTGGTCCAAGAACGCCTGCCTTGACTTACAGAACCAGGGGCTTAAGAGAGTAGGTTGCCACTTAGGATAGTTAACATTCACTGAAGTAAAAGGAGTCTTTCAGATGGAGACTCTTCCAGGGAGCATAAAATGCAGTTAGATAGCTGGGCCACTTGGCAAGTGACATCACTTACACTGCGCAGTCAAGATCAAAGACCCTTGTCGAAGCAAGGACACTGGGTTTGCCTGGCTCTCCTTTCTTCCTTTCTGTGAACCCTCGAATGCGAGCATCGGAAGAGCAGCCCCGGATGTGCAGATGCTCCTCTGAAGGGGCTTTCGTGGGCCTGCTGGGGACCAGCTACTTTTCAGGGCACAGAACCACTGAACAAGCCAGAGTCGGGGATCCTGCCACTTCTGCAGAGGGCTGGAATGGGACTTTTTTTTTTCCTGGTGACTTTCCCTTAGTTTACCAAAGCGATGAGACACAATGAAGGCAATGCCATCTCTTCACACCTAGTTCAGGCAGCTAGAGCCTCCTACCACCTCCCTGTGCCACACTGGGTGCCCTCCTCCCTTTGGCAGCTGACTAGTTTTCTGGACTCATGAGGATGAGCTCACTGCCAGGGAGCAAGTGAAGCAGCTGCTAATGTTAGCGCCGCTAGGGAGCATCCATGTTTAAACAGGAGTGTCAGGAGAGAGGGTAACCAGGGTGCATCAGGACCTCCTTGGGGTTAAGAATCTCTGGGCTTGGGACTGCTCGGACATTTATGGCGCTTTGTGCCAAGTTTTTAAAAAAAATGTGGAAACTGTCGCTGAAAAATTAAGCCAAGCCCAAGACCCTTGCCAGTGTGAGGAAACTACACCCCACCCCAGGATGGTGCTAGAGGGGCCCATTCTCAGCTTCCTTCATAATTCAGGGGACCTGGATGTGCTTTTTTATCTTGCCCCCCTTTTAAACCATGCTCAGGAGGTGTCAAAGCTTTTGCTCCAGGAACCGCTTGCTGCGAGCTATCTCGACTCCAGGTTATATCACTAGCCCCTGTATAGAGAAAACCAGCCCATCTGGGCAGGGGCACCTGATCTAGGAAATGGGCAAGCAGAGGGTGTCAGCTGCATTCGGGTTACACTAACTAGGGCCACTTTTTCCAGACTAGCTGAGACCAGCCCTGAAGCCTACAGAGAAGTTGTTTTCTCTTCCGTGTCTTTGATCTCAGTGGTAACACTGACTTCAAAACCTGGAGTAATCCCAACACAACCCATTTGGGTTAACTAGGCCCAGGGAAAAGAGTTCTGCTTAAAGTTTCCTGTTTTTAACAGGCCTAGCATAGCCAAGCGGCTTTGTTTTCTGTAGTGTCCAGTCTGCTTACTTCCAGGAGGTGGCGAAATTGGCTACAGTGGCGGATAGACCAGCCTTTGGAGGGAAGGAAGGAGCAGGGTGCTCTGGGACAGCGAAGAGAAACAGAGCGTCTAGAGACTGAAGTCACAATGGCTACAGGGTCAAGGACACAGTAGTCCGTCCCGTCCCCCGCTTCCCTGGGACCCTGGGGCAGCCAGGCTCGGGCGTGGCCTCTTCCTTCAATGGAACTATTTGCTCTTGCAGCACCTTGCTTATCCTCCAGAGAGTCTCCCAAGGAATGTGGCCAAGTCACTCCCAGCCCGGACAAGGGAGGCAGATGTCCGCCGCTCCTGCGCCCCATGTCTCATCGCTACTGCAGACGGCGATGCTGTACCACTGTACACATCTGGTCTCCCCCTAAATGTCAAAATCTGACCCTGCACTGGGCGCAGGGGAAGAGGAACTCCCTGAACAGTTACTGAGAGTTTACTCTCTGTCTGTCCTAGTCACCGGGTCCCCAGTGCCACCTATTACACACGCGGTCCTGTCCTGGGGAGGATGAGGGGATCCCACCCCTTCAGGGATCAACAGACTTCCAAGGAAGCCATCTGCTGAGAGGCGTCTAAACTGGCTGGGGACCCTGACAACAATGAAGAGAAAGTCACTAAGGTTCTGGCTGGGTTCGACATGCTGGTCACCTGCTTCCCCAGACCTGCCAGGGTTCAAATCTCAGAGAGGGGCTGGGGTGTACAGACCAGCCGCCTCCGCCGAGGAGGAGCGTGGTCTCCGCTGAGGCACAACAAGATTCTTTAATGCTAAAAATAGCGCCAGTAAACAGGCTTTGATGACTCCCCGCAGCCAGGATATGTGCAGTGACGAGGGCTCGGAGCACCTTTTCCGGAGCAGCACTCATTTCCTTCAAGGCAGCACCCGCCCATGCTGGGTGGCACACACCAGGACGGTAGGAGCTGGCCGTGCCAGGTAAATGGGCAGGTGGCAGGGCAGACTTCTGACTGGGTCTCAGAGGCCCCGCTGTGCCAGCGGTGAGGCCGGCTAGGATCCTTACTCTACCGGGATCATCCCTCTCAACACTTCCTTCAAGACACTGACCATTCCTAACAAGGTCAGATACAGGCTTCCTGCTCCAAGGGCGCTTGCAGCTTAGCTACGTCTGCAGGGTCTCTCCTTACAAAGCCCTTGCCTCTGGAGTGCCTCCTGTCCCAGGACCACTGACTGTGCATGCCCTTTGGGGCCACTGACAGCAAATCCGGTACCGCACAAGCCACAAGGCAATGAGTACCAGCCACTTACTGCATCATCACTTATACCTTATACTCCACCACGGGCAGGCCTGGGCTATTTCACACTTTTGGCAGGGGGATAGATCTCACCTGATCTCGCAGGACTCCTGGTGTACCCCAGAAGTCCACCACTGGCGATTTTTATTTTGTTATTTCCATATCTGCTCATCCCATCTTCCCTTCCCATAAAATGCTACGAGGGGCTACGTTCAGTTGACACGTTCAGTTGCTACCTATTGACTGACTAGACTGTTTGCTTTAGGGGAATGCTGTCCGCAAGGTTAGTATTTCTTGAAGGGACTGCTGGCTCTCTCAGCCATTGACGTCCTGGCATGAATCATCTTGCTGGCTTTCTTCCAGGCAGGGCATAAAAGGGCCAGAGATTGGTACAGTAAGACAATTGGGATGAACACCAGGAAAAATAGGTCCGGCCATGAGGCCGAAGAGGGCACAAAGACCTCATCTGCTGCCGTAATTTTGTCCCCTCATCCCATTTTTCCTGATGGAGAGGTCATGGTGAAAACTTTAAAATTGCATGTCCTGAATTTTAACATCTTTCCCTGAGCAGTTTGGGGATCAGGACATTGTCACCATCTCCTGTGGAGACTATGTGCCTTCACTAGGCAAATGCCAGGAATTCAAAATAAACCTGACATTCAGCTCTAGAAATCTGGCTTTGTGTTGATCTCCAGCTCTACAATAAAGAGAAATGTGCATTTTGACCAAGTAGAAATCTGGGGAGGCCTCAGATTGGTTTTAGAATGAAAAGCCCATTTTGCACATTGACCTGTGGTCTAAAGCCCCTAGATTGCAGAAGTGACGCTCCCTCAGTCCCAGAGTGTAGGGCTCATCTCGAAAGAGAACTTAAGACAATCAAGTGATATTTCCACTCATGGCCCCGCCAGAATGTGTTCTGTCCCCAGCCCAGCGTGGAAGAGAGTGTCATAAAGCCATTGTTCCAGTTTGCTTCCTGTGATAGAGATCTCAACCAAGGTCCCAACTCACAGCCTGGATTTCTCGGTGTCGAGGCTTCCTCTCCAACATTCCCACACACAACAGCCTACTGTGAAAATCAAAGGGAAGTGTGTTACTAAGTAAAGAAATTCTAATGCCAAAACCCGGTATTCTGTAGCTGTTTGAACTCTGAGGTGTACAACTTCAGCTTACTTCGATAATGAGCTCACAGTTTGTTTTGACTTTGGAAAGTGTATGCATGCAGCAACACTGGGCCCAAGGACAATAGTTTCACCCTGGTTTTTCTCTTACATTTCTCCAAAAGGCCAGCACTTTTCCTGGAAATCATTTCCAATCTATAACTTGTGCAGCAGCCTAGAGACTAAGGCCTTTCGAACCATTCAACACTGTTGCAGGTGAATATCATTGTTCTCTCTGTGTTATAAAGAAATAGTCCCAGTGAGAGAAAGATGTGTACAGCATTGCAGGGAGAGATGACAGCTACACTAACGCTCCAGATGCAGGAGGCTATCTGTTCAAAGATCCTGTAATCTTTTAGTCATGTAGAAAACAAACAAAACAAAACAAAAAACCTCTGACTCAGGGTTGACAAGATGGCTTGGCCCTAGGAGCTGGATCCCTAGAATCCATGGTAGGGAGAGAGAACCAACTTCCAAAAGTTGTCCTCTCACCTACAGACAGACAGACAGACAGACACACACACACACACACACACACACACCCCACATATGCAAAAAGTAAAATTTCAAAACAATTATTTAGTTGGGCGTGGTGGCACATGCCTTTGATCCCAGCACTTGGGGGGCAGCAGAGACAGTTCAAGGCCCACAAAAAGAGCTCCAGAACAGCCAGCACTCCACAGAGAAACCCTGTCTCAAAGAATAAAAAACAAAAACAAAACAATGTTTTAAAACGAGAGGAAAAAAGAGGGCCCTGGGGAGGTGGTTAAGTGCATAGAAAACACTTCTGCACTAGCACGAAGGGCTGAGTTCAAGTCCTCGGTGTCCATATAAAAGCCAAACTTGGCTGTGTCTGCCCACAAGGGGCAGAGACAGGTGAATCCTAGGAGTTTGCTGGACAGCCAACCTAGCCAAAGAGTGAGCTTTGGGTTGAATGAGAGACCCTGCCTCAAAGAAATGAGGCAGAGGCAATAAAGCAAGACCCCAACAGGGGGAAGGAAGGGGAGGGAAAAGGTTGCTTTGCATTCTATTTCTAATAATTTCTATAACTGGCCCAGAGAAGGCCTGGCAGAGAAACGGGAGAGGAAAAGGCCAGCTAAGCCATCAATCACCTCCTCTCCTGGGTATGCTCGGAATACCAGGACCAGATGACCTAAAGTATAAATCATTTTTTAAAATCGTTTTCGGACTTTTCTCTCTGCGGGACAGAGAGCCCTAGAGCTGATGTGCCCATGGCTCTGGTCCGTGCTTGGCTGTCTAGAGGGTAGGCAGTCCTTGCCGTCAACACTCAGAGCTCCTGGGCTGGGCTGCGCAATGTCTGGTCCTGTGTCTGTGGCTTCACCGAGCACGCGGCGTGTGGGAGGGGTTGCACCGGGACTCAGGCTTGCCGAGCAGATCCAGCGCTGCCCGAGACCTCAGCAAGTCAGTCTCGCAACCGCTGAAGGAAACACACAGGCTTCCGGGAGGACGGGCACAGACAATGTGTTCCTGCTACAAGAGCAAGGCACAGACGCAGCTCTGAGAACCTCCTGCCCATAGGCTTGCTCGTGGCCAGTCCTGGTCAGTCTCCAGCTGCTTCCCTGGGACATGGACTCCCTGGCCCTCATCAACATCTTTGCCTGACCCGCTTAACGGAGTCCTGTGAATCACTATCTCTCTCCTCTCGCTTCTCCAGCAGGACACACCTTTGCGTAAGAGAGGCATGCAAGTGGCCTGGGTTAGATTGATTCTCCATCAGTCTGTCTTTTATTTGGCAATCCAGGCTTTGCAGGGCCCTAACCCATTCTGCCCTCAGCCATTTGCACCGGCAACTAGCCGAGTGCTTGCTGTTGCTGGCTGTCCTTGCTCCCCCCCCAGTGTCTGCTCACTTCAGTGACAGCACAGTCACCCAGGCCTTGCAGCACAGGTTTAGCCTCTGGGCCCCCTGAGCAGCCATCCTCTCTTCCGAAGGTCTTTCCCGCATATCCTTCCTGTGCACAGGAATAGCACCGGCCAGTCTGGCTTCCTCATCTCACACTGGATTCCCTCTGAGCGGGGGGCTCTTTCCTAAAATAGTTATGTTGATGCAGGATGGCAGAAGGAGTCCACCCCCAGAGCGCCACACTCACTCAGGAAAACTGAATCACAGAATCTCTGCTCCTCCTCAGCGGCCTCCCTTGCTCATGCCCTCAGACACTTCCCGGTAGTGCCAGTCTGGCTGCTACATGCTGCCCAGTTTCCTTGCAGAACCGATAAACTCAACAGCACTGCACATAGGATCTGAAAGTGGAAATCCCAGGCTGCCTCCTCTTCCTGGTGGAGCCTAACAGGAAATGGTTACATTTGAAGAATGTAACGCTGAGAAAGGAGGAAAAAAATACATCTCTTATGGACCATTGTTGAAGAGATTCTAGGGGAAGGAAAACACATTGCCTGGCTGAGTTTATGTGATGCCTGAGACTGTCATCTAAGGGGCTGTCCTAGCAGGAACAAGTGCAGCTAAGCCACTGTCCCCATTAACTCCTACACTATGACCATCACCGCTACAGTAAGCACGGATAATTCCAGTTTATAGGCAATGAAACCAAGGTTCTAAGATGCTGCATGGCCTGTGTAACCGGCTAGAAGGAGGGGATAAATAGATGAGGCACGCAATATGGCTGAGTAGGCAGAGGCGCTTGCTGCCAAGCCTGGCGACCCGAGTTCAAGCCCAAGAACCCAGATGATGGAAGGGGAGAACAGAATGGACTCCTGAAAGCTGTCCCCTGACCTCTGTGTACCCACATACACATACTCACACACAGATAAACTCATGCAAAACTAAAGGCCATTGTTGTCCTTTTAGTGGGTGGACATTTGTAGAGTACTATGTCTCGGGGTAAGGCCTAGGGGCATGCCAGCCTCAGGCAGGACCTGGCAGCCTCACCTGAGGACAGGAGCTTGTGTGTCCGCAGGAAGCTGATAGCTAGTCGCATGATGGAGGCTTTGTCCAGGTGGGAGCTCACACTGTGAGGCAGGGGTAGCTCGTGAGCCAGTTCATAGAAGACCTCGGTCTCCTTGCTGCGCCGGCACCTTGCAGCATCTCGGGATTTCTCCTTCCTCAGCTCCGAGCTGCTCCTAAGTGAAGAAGGAAGGGGTTAGTCACCAGAATATCACTGGCATCCTATCACACTCCTGGTAGAGCCACGCTCATCCCCCTGTCCACTGTAAAGTCATTCTTCCTGAAGCAATCTGGGCTCAGTGGAACTTCTAACAAGCTGCTTTTTGTTATTGGTTCTGCTTTTGTGGGTACTGGTGTCTTCTCAAACGGCTTGGCCAGAACTTGGTTTCACACGGGTGGGGTTTCAATGAAGACTTGATGATTCAATTAATTAACAGGCCTTGGGAGCAGGGGGTCAAAATCCAGAGATGGAAAGGGAGGAATGAAGAAACTATGGTCAGTGGAACACACAGTGTTGTCAAAAGCTCTGTAGGACAAGGTTCTCTTTTCCCAGGTAAGATGCACCCAGTAAAAATGAAGCCCAGTCCTGGGCCTTGGTCCTGTTTGGGATCTGAGAGGGATGTCATAGAAGAGGCTGAAGGCGCCAGTGAAGCCCAGAGAGAGCACGAGGCAGAGACCTCAGTTCACACTCACAAAGCGTGTGCCTACTAGGGGTAAAAGGCAGCACGCACAAACCCCGCTGGCCTGGGCTACCAGACCAACTCTTGTTATCCTCTTTGTTGCAGGATGGGAGGAGGAAGACACACACCCAAACCTGCCACTTTCAGGAGGTCCTAAAGAGAAGGGGATCTTCTTACGAAGTCGGTGCAAATGCTGCATGGGCGAGTCAGAACACCTAGGCCAGAAGTCTTAACTTTTCTGCTGGCTAACTCCATAAACTTCAGCTACGAAGGCATGTAACATCCCCTCAGTGGTACCCACTTGACAGTTATTGTGAGGACTTATGTGATCATCTGTGTGAAACCTTTAGCACTGGGCTCACCCCACCATAAGCAATCAGCATTTTCTTAATAGTCAAAAAAAAAAAAAAAGATGGTCTGTCCATAAAAAGACAACCTGTCAACAGATAGAGCAACTGTGTCCTCAGAAAAATGCACGCATTACACGGAACATTTTCTGTTATGTTATCCAGGAAAACAGCTGGAAATACAGTAAACAATAAGCACTCTTACAATGGTCACAGTGTCACAACCACACAGTTTGATATAGTTTAGTTACGATTTTAGACAGTACCACGTTAGCAACTTCAAACTTTGCAGCTTGCCTCGAGAGTAGCAATTATTAGCACCCCCTGACTTACAGATGAGAAAACAGGCCCACAGGAGCTAAATAAATAATCCACCTGTGGCTGCCAGCTGATAAGTGGAGACTTGAACTCTGCCCTGGGCAGGGCAACCCTAGAATCCAGGCACTTAGTCATTAGTGACTGTTAAGAGCTGCAGAACCCCCACCCCTGGCCTACTGATTATCTATGTTTTCTTGTGTTTCTATAAATAACATAGATTACTTGTATAATAAAGACATTAGTTTGTTTTGTGTTTCTGTAGAAGATGTTCAATGTGTTTTGTGGCTGTCAAGGCTTGATCTAATCAGTTCCAGCCTGGCTCATTTTACCTTCCCTTCTGAGGTTGCCAAACCCAGAGGCTGGTCTCCCTCTCTGTTTGCTTCGAGCCTCTTGTTATCTGTACAGAAAATCACTATTTGGGGATTCCTGGAATGTTGGCGTGCCTCTCACCCCCTTGCGGATTTGAGGCAGAAGCCCTGTTTTGACTTTCCAGCAGGCTTCATTGGCAGTCACAGATCCCTGGATAGATGGACTACGCGTTGGATGGTCAAGCAGAACCTTGTGAGGAATTGTGAGGTGAGGGAACTGGGTTTTCGTGTCCCCCACCCCTTGCTTTCCTCGTCTCTCCCTTTCTCCTCCACTCTCCCTAACTTTCAGATCTCAGGAACCCCACACCTCCACACCCAAACCGCCTCACCCTCTAGGAACCCTCCCCTTGGGAGATTTTGCGTCTTCTACCAGACTTCACTGGTCCCTAGATTTTGCATTTTCATCCTGAGTTCATCAGGGTGGGATGTGTTGAGGGCTCCCAGGCTTCTTGGTGTAGGAAAAGCAGGCAGGAGGGGTGCCTACAGTGGAATCCTACAACTCTGGGTCATGAGATCCAGGGAGGAGATGCTGAATTCTACTCCAGCACCAGCCCTCACACTTCCTGACACATGACCTAGTCTTTAGAAACATCTAAAGCAGCCATGCTGGGGTGGATAAGTCATCACAGCATGTGTATTAGCAGCAGCAGCTCCTTCATGGACAAAGCCCCTCACCTTAGAGAAGAAGAGCCCCCACGGCTGAGGGAGAGCTGTGGAGAAGAGGCTACTTAGAGGCAGGGTTCTGTTCTGGAGATCTGAGGTGTGCCACACTCCTTCAACCACACAAACACTAATTCACCATGGGTTTGGCCACTGCACCAAGAAGAGTTCACATCACCCCATTACACTCTTCTTCCAGACACAGCTCAGTAGACGCTGTGTAATTTACAGATAGGGAAACTGAGGCTCAGAACATATTAGGCCATTTTCCCAAGGTCTTAAAACCAGAACACCTGCATAAGCCCTTGGAGAGTTTCCAGTGAGGGAGCAGGCAGGCTCCTAGTTTTATCCTTGCAACCATGTGAGGAAGCAGGCAGGCCGTACCCATGTTCCCATTTCGGGGAACCTGGAAACTGAGGAACAACTAGGTTATGTGGCTGGCAGAGCCAGGGATAAAACTGTAACCCCATGCCCACCCCAGTACTTTTTTCAAAGTTCATCTGTCGGGGACAGTACCCTGCTCCTTGGTGAGAAAGAAGAAACCTCCCCATCTTGACCATTGAGAAGAAGAAAGGCTGAGAACCTGTGGCAGGCCCTTGGTTCATTTTAGCTCCCTTGTTTCCCCACTGACACCCTAGAACCAGCTTGGTTTTAATTAGATTCCCTAGTTAACCTTGACATAGTCCAGAGATGTCTGCTGTTGACTCTTAGAAAAGTAGGGAAATTTTTACTGTAACACTGAAACTGTTTAATTAGTGACCTTGAAGATCAGGGTAAGTAACACGAAGAATAAGAGTAACAGAAGCTCAAGCTTGTACATTGGCCACAGTGCTGTCCTGCCCATCTGACTTTGGAGAAAAGAAATTGCATTCTTTGGGCTCTGCCTCCCTCACCTGTAAACAGGAAGGAGACTCTGTGTTTTGTCAGGATAATATGAGGTAAGTGATACTCCAGAAGGTTCTCTGGCACTGGCAACTATCACGGCAGACTGAAGATCCATCGTCTGGCTACCATGAGCATCTGTTGCATTTAGACTCTGCCGTAACACCTGTCCTTTGTCATCTAGCAGGCTGCTGGGGTACAGGACTATGTCAAGCAAGCAGATCCCAACCAGTTCTGCATGTCACATTTGGGCATCTTCCTAGGCCGACAAAGAATTTTGTTTCCTGAAATACTTTTCTTCCAAGATGAGTGACACTCCTGAAATTTACATGTTAGAATCCACTGGCTTCTCTTAAATAGTTGTCATACCCTAAATGTTTAGATAATTAGAAATGACTTGGTAGTTTCTTACACCACAATGCTTTTTCTTTTTTTCTCTGAAGCTTCTCTTCCCATCCCTGGTGACTCTTCCCGTTCCCACGAGGAGGCCCTGTGTAATATGTGGTGCATGAAACTCACTACCTAAATGTGACTCTGCCCCCGTCTTCACACACACTGAGATTTGCCTGCCGGGCCTGTGCAGGCTCCTGTGGTCACTAGAGAGTGAATGAGGCCCATGAGCCTTGCTCTCCATGAGTAAGCAGTCTAGTCATGGGGCAACAGCTACACTTGGCATCATTAACTAGAACTAATAAATAGGGACAAATATGTTAACAGCAAGGACAGGGACTCAGGGCAGCAGGATTCCAGCTAATCTTGAAAGATAATGACCATGCCCTTATAATAACTTAGGACTTTGGAAAATATTTTCTAAAAGAAATATAGGCAATCTCATTTGAGTTTCAGAATAACCCTAAAGACAGGAGTTTGAGAGACTAAATATTTCTCTCAATCCTAGCTTTTCTGGGTACCAACCACTGCCCCACCCCACCCCTCAACTTTTCCTTGACAGCAAGGAAACTATTGAACCATTGTCACATGGCCAGTGTCATTACAAACTTTCATACAAAGCAGATCCTTATCTACACTATGGGAAGAAGAGGAGGGCTGAGACTCCGTGGAGCTGGGCTGGGACAACTCTGTCGTTGAATCAGCAACCAATAACCATAGGGAACTCCTGGAACCCAGAGAGTAGAACCAGTCTTGGAGTTGAAACTGGGAGGAGTAGGAAGGCGGAGCACAAGAAGCGCCCATTGCTGTAGAGCTGGATCGCAATGCGGTATTGTCCAATGGGAGTCCAGTTCTGCAGCAAGAAGACCTGCATATCCCCCCCTCCCCCCCGTCATACTGCAGTCAATGATGACAGCCAATTCTGATTTGCTGGAGCTTTTCTGCCCCCTCTACATTCATTTATCATCAGTTGCTCCTGCGGGGAGTGCGGGGGGGGGGGGGCGACACACACATGATTCTGAAAGATTTAATCCCAAGTCAATGAAGCAAGCACTTCAGAACTAAGCAGTAAAACAAAGTTGACTGTTCAGAAGCATCCTTCAATCAATCAACCAGTATAGGTGCAACTGGTCCTTTGCTAGTGGACAGCTGGCTTTAGGACCCCCTCACAGACATCAAAAGTCCTCAGATGCTCAAGCCCTTATAAGGAGTGTGGCGTTTGCACAGAACCTGTACAATCCTCTTATATACTTTAAACCAGTTCTTGATGTCTTATAATGTATCCTACGGTGCAAGCACTTTGTAAGTAGTTATTACACTGTATTATTGAGGGGCTGATAAGAAAAAAGGCTGTACATATTCAGCACATACATAATTTCTTCCCAAATATTCTAGATCTGGTTAGTTGAATCAAAGGAATATGAAGTGATGAACTTAGACACTATCACTCAACCAGGCAAGACAACCTTTGGCCAGAACGCATGACACTCTAAGTGTGGCAGGGGATCCCTGATGCATTTATCCACAGTGA